GTATTATTGGACAGACTGCAGAGTGACATGTATCAATATTTACTTTTAAATTGTGTGATCATATTTTACTTGTATGAATTGAATATTAAATAACATAAAACAAGCAAAAAATAATTAATTCAACTCCAAACAACTGCCACAATGTCCTATACTAATGAACATAATTATGCCTGAAATTCTTACTAACTTTGATTTATGTTTTTTTTTTTATATAATTATACTCATGAAAGCTAAAAAGAAAAAAAAATAACTAGTTTGAATCTTATAGAAAAAATTTTAGTATATATATTTATATTTTTAGGATCTGTTTTATATTGATAGTATGTACTGATAAAGGCCTATATAAAATGACTTTCTACATACAGGTGCTAACTGAGCTTCCTCTACATTGCTTTACTTTCCTTTTGATAGTTGTTTATATATATTAAAAAGTCATTCGAGAAAAGGAAATAGAGGATTGCTGAACTAAAATCCATTCGTTTTACTCCGTTATATTGTCAAAATTCTTTCAGGTGTAATACCACCAAAATATAGTACATTCAGTTTCAAGCCAGAAATGGTTGATTTTTTTTTATATTCCATTTAATTTGACAGTTGTTGGAAATTAACCCTGCATTTCATTGCAGAAAGTTTTTTTTTGGGTCGTTAACATGTACATGTATCTTGGGTGTTTCAAAGCAATAAAAAATTCTATTAGTGTTGCTATAAAATATTTTGGAAATTTAAGGGGACATTGCTACTAAAGCTGGTAAACAGGAAAAAAAAAGGGGGAAGGAATTTGACTGGTTAACTTATGGTGACGTTTAATGTCTTATCTGCAATGAAAAGTTATGTTGTATTTTCACTGTAGTACTGGACAGGATAAACTTCACTCATGTAGAGTATTTTTTTATTTAAAACATAGATAAATTCATCACATTTAATAAAAAAAAGGCAAATTAAACAAAGACTTATGGGGGAAAAACAATTTTATGTTAAATTTTCCCTGCAGTAATTGACAGGATAAAACTTTACTCATGCCAAATATCTCTTTATTTAAAACAAAGATGAATTCTACACAATTAAAAAAAAAGTCAATTAAACAGAGACGTACTAGGGGAAAAACAATGGTGATATTACCTCCTCAAACCAGCCTTCCAATAATGAATTACAACTTTTCCTAAAGTAGCCATAATTTTTTATAAAAGAACTAAGTTTGCTATTTTATATATATAAAAAAAAACATATTACCATTGTTTAGTTAGGGACATTACTTAAACAATTATTTTTCAAAATTACCTATGCAATTTATGTTAATCAAAGCACGAAAGCGCTGTAAAGGCAGTTAATTACAGGTTGTGTGTATTTTAAGTCCAGTTATATCATTATCTTGCATAGTACAGTGTACTTATCAGAGGTGGCTTTCAGTATTTAAGATTTAGAGTTCTCTAATGATATTGAATAAGTTTTATGAATGTCATATTCTGAGCACTATATGAAGGCGATTGTTCTCACTTGTTTATGAACTAGTGCATTATGTCCAGTTTGTACCTTTTTGATCTATGTTTATAGTCAAATTAGTTATCAAAGGTACCAGGATTATAATTTAATACGCCAGACGTGTGTTTCGTCTACATAAGACTCATCAGTGACGTTCAGATCAAAATAGTAACAAAGCCAAACAAGTACAAAGTTGAAGAGCATTGAGGACCCAAAATTCCAAAATGTTGTGCCAAATATGGCTAAGGTAATCTATTCCTTGGATAAGAAAATCCTTAGTTTTTTCATTGGCAATCATAACACATCTCCTTATTTATATAATGATCTATATTCAACGACCTCAGGTACAAAAAAAATGTATGTAACTAAACTATGATGGGAAACCTTTGACTTCTTTCTTTATATAAACTTTTGATTTGGTACCATAGAACTATGTAGAGTAAATGTACATTGCAACATGTCAACTCCAAGCAAAATTATATTTCCAAGCATAAAGTAATTTATGAATGAAATAAAATGCTCCGCTGGGGTGCAGCTTGATACGACCGCAGAGGTCGAACCCTGAACAGTTGGGGCAAGTATGAACACAACATTCAAGCTTGATTCAGCACTGAATTTGGATTGTTATTAAATATTTGACATAGCATAGGTTTCTGACACAAATGAAAGTGGTCTAAGATACTTAAAAAAATTTAATTTACCTATTCAAACCATATCATTATTATTTGCTTTTATATATAAATCAGAAATAACCAATTTAAAATGGAAAAATTTAAAGAAAAAAAAGGAAAAAGAATCCCCCCCCCCAATTTTTTGAACCCCCCTTATGATTCATCACCCCAAAACTCAATCCCAGCCTTCCCTTTGTGGTATGGTACCTTGCAGTACAATTTCAGAGAGATCCATACACTTGAACACATGTTATTGTCTGGAAACTAGAAAAATGCTTGTTTTTTTGCCCCTTTTTGGTCCCAAATTCCTAAACGTTTAGGGCAATTACCCCCAAACTCAAACCCAGCTTTCCCTTTGTGATATGGAACCTTGTAGTACAATTTCATAAAGATCCATACACTTACACACAAGTTATTGCCATGAAACTAGAAAAATGCTTGTTTTTTGCCCCTTTTTGGCCCCTAATTCCTAAAATTTGGAGGCAATTACCCCCATAATCAATCCCAGCATTCCCTTTGTGATATGGAACCATGTGATACAATGTCAGAGAGATCCATAGACTTACACACAAGTTATTGTCATGAAACTAGAAAAATGCTTGTGTTTTGCCCCTTTTTGGCTCCTAATTCCTAAAATTTGGAGGCAATTACCCACAAAATCAATCCCAGCATTCCCTTTGTGGTATGGTACCTTGCAGTACAATTTCAGAGAGATCCATACACTTGAACACAAGTTATTGTCTGGAAACTAGAAAAATGCTTATTTTTGGCCCCTTATTCCTAAACTTTTTGGGCAATTACCCCCAAACTCAATTCCAGCTTTCCCTTTGTGATATGGAACCTTGTAGTACAATTTCATAAAGATCCATACCCTTACACACAAGTTATTGCCATGAAACTAGAAAAATGCTTGTTTTTTGCCCCTTTTTGGCCCCTAATTCCTAAAATTTGGAGGCAATTACCCCCAAATTCAATCCCAGCATTCCCTTTGTGATATGGAACCTTGTGATACAATGTCAGAGAGATCCATAGACTTGCACACAAGTTATTGTCATGAAACTAGAAAAATGCTTGTTTTTTGCCCCTTTTTGGCCCCTAATTCCTAAAATTTGGAGGCAATTACCCCCAAAAATCAATACCAGCATTCCCTTTGTGATATGGAACCTTGTGGTACAATGTCAGAGAGATCCATACACTTACACACAAGTTATGTCTGGAAGTTACAAAAATGCTTATTTTTGGCCCCTTATTCCTTAACTGTTGGTACCATAACCCCCAAAATCAATCCCCACTTTCCTTTTGTGGTATTGAACCTTCTTTTAAAATTTCATTGAGATCCATTCACTTAAACTAAAGTTAGAGTGCGAAAACGAATGTGTCTTCGGACGACGCCCCCGGACGACGACGACGCCAACGTCATACCAATATACGACCACAAAAATTTTTTTGGCGGTCGTATAAAAAGGAGTTCTTAATTAAGAAATAAACTGATTCGCTGAGCGCAGCTGGATACACCCGCAGAGGTACTACCCCGAACAGCTGGGGCAAAAAAGGACACAATATTCAGGCTTGATACAGGTCTGAATTTGGATTGTAATTAAATATTTGACATATTATAGTTTCTGAATAAATGTAGTCAATGAACTTGAAATCGGTTATATGAATTGAATTTATATTCAATTAAAGATTTCTTGCTGTTGTGCAATACACTGTGCTGTTGTGCAATACTTAATAAATCTGTTGCCAGACTATAAACAAATAAAGTTCAATTTCTTCTCAATGTCATATTTGAAATTTATGAAAATCAATAGGGAGATTACATCAATAGCTATAAATAATTCACCAAAGTTTCATGTGAACTGCTTAAAGCATTTTTGAGTTGTTGTCCAAAATCTGGAAAATCCCCCCTTTTTTAATGAATAAAACCCCATATCTCAGAAATGTAAAATCTAAAATTTATAAAATTCTAAAGGGAGCTTATGGATTGATAATTTAGTCTTAGATGCAAGATTTTTTTATCAGTTGTTAGTGGCTTTGAACTAGCTGTCAGTAACTGCGAGTACTCTCAGATTTGTACTTAGTGTCTTTTTGTTGTTTGGATGTACAACTACCCGACCACGTACACTTGTATTTGTATTTATCCATGTGATGAGTTTAGCCTCTTTCAACTGATTTTTATAGTTCTTTCTTATATTGTACTGTTACACCACTGTCCCAGGTTAGGGGGAGGGTTGGGATCCCGCTAACATGTTTAAGCTCGCCACATTCTGTATGTACATGTATGTGCCTGTCCCAAGTCAGGAGCCTATAAAAGTGTAATTCAGTGGTTGTCGTTTGTTTATGTGTTGCATATTTGTTATATTTGTTCATTTTTTTACATAAAATAGGCCGTTAGTTTTCTTGTTTGAATTGTTTTACATTGTCATTTCTGGGCCTTTTATAGCTGACTGTGCGGTATGGGCTTTGCTCATTGTTGAAGGCCGTACTGTGACCTATAGCTGTTAATTTCTGTGTCATTTGGTCTCTTGTGCATGTGTGGAGAGTTGTCTCATTGGCAATCATACCACATCTTCTTTTTTATATTTACATCAACAGATATAAAAAATTCACCAAAGTCAAGGTGAGACAACAAAACTTAGTTGTAAGATCTCTGAAATTTTTTACAGGGTACGAGTTTTTCTCATTGTTGGAGATTGTACGGTGACAGTAACACCTGTAACTGCTTAAACCCATTTCTTATGCACTTTAGTTTGATAAACTCACTGAATATCATACCACATCTCCTTATTTTTATATGCATTACAATTTACATGTGCATGTAATTGTAAATATATATATATCAGAACTAAGTTCATTGCGTCACTTTTATTTATGCATCCTTTGGCACAATACAAGTTCTAAAATTACACAACATAAAACAACTAAATGTTATTTCAGATGAAAGTTTTGTTTCAGTTCCATTCATAGGATTTATTAGAATTTTGTATGTTTTGCCAAGTCCAATAATTCGCTCTATGTGACATAGAGACATAGTTGACTAAACCACCAGGTGTCGAACATTCAAGAATTTTCAGTGTTTCTGTTTTTATTTGATGAAAAGGTTGCCTGAGCTCTAGGAGCTTTAGGTTTTATCACGGGATATTCTGTGCTGTCAATAATAATCCAAGTTGTAGGAAACTTTAATTTGAAGTTGGATGGTGAAAAATACCTGACTAAACCACTAGATGGCCAAGTGTTAGCCTCACACCACTGTTTAGACATAAAAACAATCCATGTATACACAATATTCTTAACACTAGATTCAATCTAGAATCTAGACAGTTCAAAGTTGGTTGTATGATGCCTCAATTTCATCAAAGTCATAAAAAAACTGATTTTCAACTGACACCCTATCAATTTGAAAATATATGTATCTCAAACAATGTGCTGCTGGACCAAGTGTGGTCAAAACAAATAAAAATTTAGTATACAACTCTAAACCGGTATAAAAATGCATGGCTGTGTCACGTGTCTTCATTTCAAAATTCTCTACTGAAAACATAGGCATTGATGGTGTTTGCGTAATTCCATCTGTGAAGCTCAACATTAGCTCGGCAGTTGGTGGTGGACAGTCATAAATCCTTTCTGCAGTATGAATGACTTCTTCAGGAAAACCAACTTTACAATCAAAACTTTCCTCTAGATTTCTACTACAATATTCATCAAGTTTAGTTCTTTTGTTTTCACAGGAAACTGCCCTGATTTTTCTTTTTGCGGACGATTCAGTCTCTTGCTTGGTCCAGGAAAAAAGGCTGGGAATTGCAGTAGACTTAAGTCTCTGTATGGTGGGTTTGCGCCCTGAAAAAGGTTATAAAACATAAGTTTTTTTATAATTACATGTAAATGAACTTCCATTAGCAATGTATACTTTGTACTACCTGGTGAAATATTAACTAGATTTATTCATTACAATCTGGATAAAACTATGTTTGCCTGATTCAATGCATGTTATGTAAATCCAAAGGACAAACAATGAGAGACTTATGCAACAAACGTACATTGTTTGTACCTAAATAACTATAATATAGATGAGAGCATGTCATTGTTTTGTTCCTGTTAACATTGTCATTGATATTTTTCAAGAAAGTCTATGAGGCATAGCTTATGCATTCCTGTCATTACTACATAAGCATAATTACTGCTAAAATAATTCTCAGTATGATATACCGCTTGTAAGAAATCATTATAATTGTAGCAATCACCAAAAAATCTCAAACAGATAACATTGAATCGTAATCCAAAAAATTATGACGTCTTGAATTACCCACCCCCTTTTATTCTAAAACGATAATTGCGGTTGTAAACAGACTTTGGTTTATTCGCATGGCGATTACATATATATCTATATATTTCACAAAGAAAATAGAGTTTTACCATGAATAGTTTCCTGCACGTAGTCTTTTTCAGTAAAACGTGCCTTGCAAACAACAGCTGATTGAGATGGACTCCACGATATCATCGTGTTCTCGTCCAATCTGCGTATGGGCCATGACGTTGATCCAACTTTTCCTTCTTTTTAAGTCATTTGGAAATGCATGTCCTCCTCTTAAATTACATCCAGGTACACAACAACAAGTACTTGGCATCGTTAATTAAAAATATAACTGAAATAGTTGCACAGTGCAGAAACCGGAAGTAGAGGAACAGGATCCGCTACCACGGCGCCACCTATTCAGGAACGATAATTTGCTACTTTATATAACTGCGAAAATAACGGGTTCACGTGCATAAACAGAAATGCGCTTTAAATTGTATAATATAATTCATGTTCAGTCGACCTTTAATTATTATATCAACGACTGAAATGATTTATAAACATCTAGATTGCAGATAACACTCGAAATTAACCCGAGCTCTTTCCACACGGAATTCAAATAATTCTAGTTTGTCAATCGGTTGACTGCTTATAATGCAAAATACTAATATATCAAAAGTTTTTAAAACTAACAAAACACAATGATCGTTTCTCTATTTCCCAATGTAAATGAAATGAAACAAAAAACATTTTATATCGCAATAAGAAGAGGAGAGAATTCAACATTTCCGGATCTACTTGGAGTCTAATGACCCCCCACGTAGATAAGTTGGATATCGCGGAAGGAAGGATTAACCCGGCAACTAGAAAGGCATTAAAGCACTGCCTTTAAAAACGATGCTATATCATATATTACTTCTATTTCATGTATAAGTAACTTATTCTAATATTATTTTTATATGTGTCCATTCATACAGGTTTTAATAGCTTTAACAAATTTTCACAGACATCTGGTTATTTTTCCCATGAAATATAAAACTAATCCTCCTGAAACACTAATTGACTTTCTGAGCCACGCTTCTGGATCAAAGATTGTCCTCTTGGGACTACAATGTATTAAAATACCATTTTCCTTTAAAATCTTAATGGTAGACAAATATAAATAGATGGAACCTTGTGATTTAATTAAGACTTGAAGTTATTTATAATGTGTAATCTAAAACAATAACATATGTTCCATAAATAATTATAAGTGCTAAGTTTTTCAAAGATGTATAAAATAATTTATAAAAGTAATAATTTTGTCCTCATTTTTAAAGTAACCTTTTATCTCCATACTCATCTCACATTTGATAAATACTTAATTTTATTTAATAAAATTATATAAAATTCTTAAAAACTACATTTAGTCCATGCTACTATTGACATTTAAAATAACTATTGAGTTATTAAATAATTTTTAAAAACGAAAAAAATTATAAGTAACTAAAGAAAAAATTTACTTGTTTAGTATCGCCCCTGACTGTTGTTTGTGCCTTGATGACTTTTATGTAGCATATTATATAGTATAAACTATATCTAAATTATATAATCTAATTATAAAATTTAAGAATTTTTTTTATCATTAAAAAAGAATGGTTATTAAATATAATAAGAAAATATTTTAATGACTTTTACTTTTTGTGGAGACGACATTTCTTTCCAAGCATTTCCCAGTACTGTTGAAGAATTTCTAATCTATTTTATAGTTTTGTAAATTTCATGCAAAATGTATTTGAATATACCAGATGTTTATACAGGTGTTAATTGAGCTTCCTCTATAATGCTTTACTTTCCTTATTATAGAAGTGCTATAGATTTGATTGACATCTTAATAGATCATGATAATTATTGTCACATAAACTGCTGAGAAGAGCCTACTTAAAAAGCTCCGAGCATCCTCCGAGCATGCTCGGAGCTTCCTCGTAAGAATAAATCTATGATCCCTAAGGATTGGTTGTTTTTAATAAAAGTAAAATAATATCATAGAAAATTTACTGAAATATTGTTCGCATTGTTTAAAATACCATTTTTTTTCTTTTGCTAAAATTGTAACTAGTCTGGATCCCCATTGCTCTTCAACTTTGTAAATGTTTGGCTTTATAATTATTTTGATCTGAGCGTCACTGATGAGTCTTAAGAAGACATATTAAATTATAAGCCTGGTACCTTTGATTACTATTTACACCACTGGGTCTATACCACTGCTGGTGGACGTTTAGTCCCGAGGGTATCACCAGCCCAGTAGTCAGTACTTCGGTGTTGACATAATTAAATCAATTCTATGGTCAATTTTTTTGTTTTTTAAATTTCCTGTTTTCAAAAGTATGAATTTTTCGAAATACTTAAGATTTTCTTATCCCAGGCATAGATTACCTTAGCCGTATTTGGCACAACTTTTTGGAATTTTGGATCCCAAATGCTCTTCAACTTTGTACTTGATTAGCTTTATAACTATTTTGATCTGAGCATCACTGACGAGTCTTATGTTGACGAAACATGGGTCTGGCGTATTATATTATAAGCCTGGTACCTCTGATAACTATTTACACCACTGGGTCGATACCACTGCTGGTGGACGTTTCGTCCCCAAGGGTATCACCAGCCCAGTAGTCAGCACTTCGGTGTTGACATGAATATCAATTATATGGTAAATTTTTTTTAATTTTTTTTTTTTAAATTTCCTGTTTACAAAAGTATGAATTTTTCGAAATACTTAGGATTTTCTTATCCCATGCATAGCTTACCTTAGCCGTATTTGGCACAACTTTTTGGAATTTTGGATCCCCAATGCTCTTCAACTTTGTACTTGTTTGGCTTTATAACTATTTTGATCTGAGCGTCACTGATGAATCTTATGTAGACGAATCAAGCGTCTGGCTTATTAAATTATAAGCCTGGTACCTTTGATAACTATTTTCACCACTGGGTCGATGCCAATGCTCTTCAACTTTGTACTTGTTTGGCTTTATAACTATTTTGATCTGAGCGTCACTGATGAGTCTTATGTAGACGAAACATGCGTCTTGCATATTAAATTATAAGCCTGATACCTTTGATAACTATTATGATTTCAAAGTCAGCAGGACAAGATTTTTTTAAGAGAATTTTTATAATGTAAGGAGAAAATATGCATAAACTTTTATTTTTGAGGAATAAGAATGCAATCATTCTTTTTTTTAATGGAAATTATTGACCGCCATTGACTTTTTGTACTTTTTATAGTTTAGAATTGGTTGTATTTCATAAAAGTAAAAGAATATCAGAGAAAATATACTAAAATGTTGTTCGCATTGTTCAAATTTCCAATTTTTCTTCTTTTGATAAAAAATAATGCAATGTTATTTGTAATTAGTTATTTCAAAGGCCTCAAGATAAGATTTTTAAATAAGAATTTTAATATTGTAAGTAGAATAATGCTTAAACATTTGTTTGTGTTGAATATAAATGCAATAATTTCTTTATTTTGATAGAAATAATGAACCACCATTTGATTTCAGTACTTTTTGTACATCAGGATTGGTTGTTTTTCATAAAATATGTTAAATTTCAGAGAAGAGATACTAAATTGAATGTTCGCATTGCGTAACAATGCAAATATTGCTTCTTTTATATCAGAAATAATGCAACGTCAATTGCTATCCGTCATTATGAATGCCTTTAGATAAGTTATTTTTAATAAAATGTGAAAAAATGAAGAATAAATATGCATAAACTTTTGTTTTTGTTGAATGAGAATGAAATCATTTCTTTATTTGAATGAAAATTATTGACTGCCATTGGATGATTGTACTTTTTATAGTTTAGGATTGGTTGTTTTTCATAAAAGTAAAAGAATATCGGAGAAAAGATACTAAAATGTTGTTCGCATTGTTTAAAATTACTACTATTTCTTATTTTATAAAATATTCAGCCGTGAATGTTATTTGTAATTTGTTTTTTTAATTGCCTCGACATAAGTTTTTTAAAGAATTTTAAGATAACAAGAATAAAATACTAAAAAAAACATTGAAAATAATACACTGAAATTTGTAATTAATAATCATTTCATTTCATTTTCCCCAGCGTATTGGGAAATAAATACTAAAAAAAACATTGAAAATAATACACTGAAATTTGTAATTAATAATCATTTCATTTCATTTTCCCCAGCGTATTGGGAAATAATGAAATCACAATCGCAATAAACACTGTTTTAGAAGTCCCCTCGTATGAAAATATATAACTTCTGACCATTCTTTTATCATAATATCTAAATTTAGTTTAATCTGCACATTTCTTTTCTTTTTAAATTCTTAAAACTTTGCTGAATAATTAATAAAAAATTGTTGATCTTTTGTACTTTAACGTTTCGTATTTTCCATGTTGCCATTTTAATTAATTGAAACAAAACTAAGATTCCATAATTTGTATTAGTTTTTCATGTGACGTAGTAGAGTTCAATTGGTCAGAAAGGTCAATCAATCGGATTGGTCTGATCAGTCAAATATTTGTACTACAAGTCTGATGGATTAGTGACTTGAGTTTGAAGCGAACTTGACTGATAGGTGACTGATCGATGACCACTGATTGATCGCTCAAATAGTAACACCTAAGGTTGAAAGTACTGTATCTTAAGTGTGTGTACAGCTCAATCGATTCAAATGATTAAATGTAATCATGCTCTCAGGACATTTTGCAAAGTATTAAAGGTAAATTTTTATTTTTGTTGTATTTTGTTACATAATTTATTTAAAGTTTAAGTTTGCACTTTGCTACTTTCATTTTCAAATGTAAAGATGCCACCTTTGTAACTGAATACTTTTTGTACTTTTCTGTATGTTGACCTCTCAATGTCTTTTAGTCATTTAGTGTCATTATATTCATATCAATAAGCTAAAGACAAAACTTGACAGATCCTAGAAGTCAAGAGTATCATTAACTTACTAAATTGATATATGAAGGCTGTTCTCCATTGACAAAGATTTTATTTAGACCAGAGAAGTCAGAGTATTAAAATCTTACTTGGGTCTCTGAAGCCTGTCCTCCACTGACAAGGCTTTTTATGCAGCACAGAACTATGGAAAATCATTGATTCTAATTCACATGGCGCTGATGACTCATAGCAAATACTGACATTCATGTCAACAAGATACTGGAAGTTGTTGGTCAGATCGTATATCACATAGCTTGAATATATGTTAAAAATGTAGAACATTGAAATTTACAATTACAAAATATTGTATAATGAAAAACCCATTTTTACATCTTCACAAAAAAATATTACAATGGTAAACAGTGAATAATTCTACTATTTTCATATCACAGACTACAGACTCCTTATTGAATGTGGCAAAATCTAGCTTACAAATCGGGCGATTTGAGGGAAAATTAAACGTTTTTAAATTTTTCTATTAAGAATAACATCATCGGAATACACTTTTTCCTCAGAATGCACTGATTGTAAGTTTAATTTTCCTTTTTTTTAGTTGCTCTCACTTAATGGCTGAATACGAACGTGTCCTACCACAGAATAGATAACCTGTCAAAAAATTATACACTCTAGAGTCAAATGTCTGTATTATGAAAATAGTCTATTAATTAATAGTTGCAGTATTTTATTTGAAATATGTTAATATATTAGTATCATCTTGATTAAGAAATCCATAAATCGTTTCTTTTTGAATGTTATTTATTCTATGTCTATGATACTCACTCTACTCGTACAACATTTTCCATGTAGAACTTCTGTAAACTTCCTGTAATGTATACATTGTTCAAACATGTCAAATGAAATTATAATTAAAACATTCATATTTACAACTAGAGGTTCTAAATAGCATGTGTCGCTCACCTTGGTATATGTGCATATTAAACAAAGGACACAGATGGATTCATGCCAAAATTGTGTTTTGGTGATGGTGATGTGTTTGTAGATCTTATTTTACTGAATATTCTTGCTGCTTACAATTATCTCTATCTATAATGAACTTGGCCCAGTAGTTACAGTGGAAAATATTTTGTAAAATTTACAAAAATTTACAAAATTTATGAAAATTGTAAAAAATTGACTATAAAGGGCAATAACTCCTTGAGGGGTCAATTGACCATTTTGGTCATGTTGACTTATTTGTAAATCTTACTTTGCTGTACATTATTGCTGTTTACAGTTTATCCCTATCTATAATAATATTCAAGATAATAACCAAAAGCTGCAAAATTTTCTTAAAATTACCAATTCAGGGGCAGCAACCCAACAACGTGTTATCTGATTGGTCTGAAAATTTCAGGGCAGATAAATCTTGACCTAATGAACAATTTTATTCTGTCAGATTTGCTCTAAATACTTTTTTTTAGAGATATGAGCCAAAAACTGCATTTAACCCTAAGTACTATTTTTTAGCCATGTCGGCCATCTTGGTTCGCGGCTGGGTCATCGGACATATTTTTTATACTAGATACCCTAATGATGATTGTGGACAAGTTTGGTTAAATTTGTCTTAGTAGTTTCAAAGGAGAAGATTTTTGTAAAAGATTACAAAAATTTACGAAAAATGGTTAAAAATTGACTATAAAGGGCAATAACTCCTTAAGGGGTCAACTGACCATTTTGGTCAAGTTGACTAAATTGTAGATCTTACTTTGCTAAACATTCTTGCTGTTTACAGTTTATCTCTATCTACAATAATATTCAAGATAATAACCAAAAACGGCAAAATTTCCTTAAAATTACCAATTCAGGGGCAGCAACCCAACAACGTGTTGTCTGATTGGTCTGAAAATTTCAGGGCAGATAAATCTTGACCTAATGAACAATTTTATTCTGTCAGATTTGCTCTAAATACTTTTTTTCAGAGATACGAGCCAAAAACTGCACTTAACCCTAAGTACTATTTTTTAGCCATGTCGGCCATCTTGGTTCGCGGCTGGGTCATCGGACATATTTTTTATACTAGATACCCTAATGATGATTGTGGACAAGTTTGGTTAAATTTGTCTTAGTAGTTTCAAAGGAGAAGATTTTTGTAAAAGATTACAAAAATTTACGAAAAATGGTTAAAAATTTACTATAAAGGGCAATAACTACTTAAGGGGTCAACTGACCATTTTGGTCAAGTTGACTTAATTGTAGATCTTACTTTGCTGAACATTATAGCTGTTTACAGTTTATCTCTATCTGTAATAATATTCAAGATAATAACCAAAAACTGCAAAATTTCCATAAAATTACCAATTCAGGGGCAGCAACCCAACAACGGGTTGTCAGATTCATCTGGAAATTATAGGGCAGATAGATCTTGACCTGATAAACAATTTTACCCCATATCAGATTTGCTCTAAATGCTTTGGTTTCAGAGATATAAGCCAAAATCTACATTTTACCCCTATATTCTGTTTTTAGCCATGGCGGCCATCTTGGTTGGTTGGCCGGGTCACCGGACACATTTTTTAAACTAGATACCCCAATGATGATTGTGGCCAAGTGTGGTTTAATTTGGCCAAGTAGTTTCAGAGGAGAAGATTTTTGTAAAAGTTAACGGACGACGACGGACGACGGACGCCAAGTGATGAGAAAAGCTCACTTGGCCCTTTGGGCCAGGTGAGCTAAAAATGTACAGGAAACACTTCAATTTGCTACAGAATTTTTAGAAATTAATTAATAATTTAAATCAACTATTCATCTTAGTAATCTATTGTTTAACATATTGTCTTATTATTCATTCATGAAATTGCAGCCATTAGAAAAGGGGACGAGCCTGTAGTTACGACAAAAGGAACATATCCTCTTTCATCTGTGAAACGTATATTCCATAACAGTCAACCAACTAGTGATGGCGTCCGTAAAACTTACGAAGGGATAATTCCAACTTCACCATTTGGAACTCTTGGTTTAATAGCTTCCTTGTGAGCATCTAAAAGTTCAACTAAAGTCAAATCTTAGCCTAGGTTAGAGACATTGATATATGTCATTCAGATGAAAGATTGAAGAAAAATATACTGAAAAAGGCAATTTTTACAAAAGATGGTTTACAACCAAAAAAATGTTAATAAAAACCTCCTGATCTTAAATCAAAACATCTTACAAAAATTACTTCTTCTGATCTGAATTTCACATGCTTTCACACAAAACATTTACAGAAATAAAACAATATTTCCAATTTTTGAAAGATTAGATTCATATTCGTCCAATACTAAAATAAACAATTCATTTTCTTTAATTTACATGCTGATTTCAATTTAATTTTTTTTAATCTATCTTGATATAAGTAATTATAACTAACCAAAACTGAAGTCAAACAAACTTCTGTTGTACTTTAGATAATCAATCGTCAGAGACAAACTTTGGTCACATGGGTTCAGTAGAAGGTGTACATCTATGTTACGGTTCAGTTCCTCTGTGTATAGACAACACTTCACACCAGTACAACTACTGGTCACTTGGCAGGTTACATTGTCATGGAGCATTGGCTTGTCAATTGCTAATGTACATCCTGTAAAAAAATTCATGTTAGCTGATTTTACTCAAATTCTCATATTTGATTCATAACAATGTAAAACATCTATTTTAGATTTTTTATATATCTTGTAGCTAGTGCCCCAATAAATGAATATCATATATCTTTCAAATTTCAATCAGCATGTACAATGGGTAGATTTTTTCTTGGCAAAGAAAACAAATAAGAGCCCTTTCCAAAATAAGTACCTTATTGTTATTTGAGATATGTTCAATAAAAGGCTGACATATTACAAGATGCATCTGAAAGAAACTTTTACAGGAATAAAGTTTTCTTTTTTTATTTCTAAGGTGGTTTATCAATAAAGCATTATATTTTTCAATTTAAATATTAATTACTACCACCTTTTAAGATTATTTGTTTAACAAATTGCCACCAAAAATTCATGACAAGGAGCAAGATTAACCAATTCTGGTTTTAAAATTGAGAATGGAAATGGGGAATATGTCAAAGAGACAACAACCCGACCAAAGAGCAGAAAACAGCCATTTTAGTACATTTTCCCTCCAAAGTTGTCTCCCTTCATGCAACTTCCTGTTTTGACAATGGCTGAATGTTTCTAAGAATCATTAAATGTCATTTTAAATCCTCAACCTTACACCTAAAAAATCTTAATACCAACAACTTCAAAAAAGCATGGCATAAGATTTGTTTTACATGGTAAATTCTGCATAAACATCAATACATTTAGAGTAAAATTGCAGTTCTTCATCCTAAGATTATTACCTCCTGATTGCCAGCCTTGTGATGCTATGGTACACTGTGGTTCCTTCTTGTACTTGGCTATGTTCAGATCACTCATGAGGAGAAAAACGGCATATTCTGGTAGAGAGTTTGATGGACTTAATCCTTTTCTAGCCTTCCAGTCTAACAGTGAAAATCCTAGAAATGTAATTTTCCAATGGATAAAAAGAGATGATGACATAAGAGATACCAGTAAAACACTACTTTACTTTTTTACTACCAAATTATATATCTTAAGGTTATAGATCACCATGTGACCTTCAAATATAGCAAGTATCCAACTTATTAATGTTTAAGTAGAGCGTTACTTGCATACTAACTGTTGTACATATATATATTGAAAACCTACTATTTTCGCAGATACATTTTTCAGGTTTAGTCTTTCCTTGTCAATTATATGACAATATATTTTCACAATTTTTGTTTAACTACATCTGTGTTTTTGTATAACAGTAGATATAACTTCAAAAAATTTAGTGACCATTTATAATTATTTTTTTTACACTCTTGAAAATAAATAGCTCACAAAAAATAGTGAATATCTGGTGAATATGAATAGCTCTTGAAAATTTGTTGGTTTACATAAACAATCAAACCCAAAAGCTACTGAATATTTAGACAATTTGCAACGTAGTACAATTCACTGTTAAGTAAGTCATTAGGTGAAATCAATATTACATTTGTTAAATATTTCACTGTAGCAATCTACAAGAAAAATTAATTCAACCAAAAAGTTCAACTTAAATCACATTCTGATATTTAAAATGACCTAAATGACCTAAATGTATTAACCCTCTATAAGTTATTATATTACCTGGAATGGCAAACTGGTCAGTATTTATACATGTAGGTTTGACTAACTTCAGATTATTAGCAACTAATCTCTGTACAGCACAATCAGCATTGGCTTCTAAACATACACTCAGTGTTACTGTCAAAAAGTATAAACTATCTATTGGCAATTCCTCAATCCGGTAGCTGAAATTTACACAAATCCATAATGTATCCACACTAGACTTTCAATTTTATGTATCCAGATTCCACTTTTTTTTACAAACTATCAAGAGAACTCTTTAAAGTATGAAATTTATATTTCATGAATGATTGCATAGATTCAAAATTCACCTTTCCCCTTCACAGAAGGATCACAGCTTCTAAAATATCTCTTCAATGTGGTATTTTCACATTGTTTTAGATGTTTTCTAAACCTCTTCAAAAGTGTCTGGAAGGATCTTGATACTCCTTTCCTCTGTTAGGGACATTGATAAATTATAAATTATAGAATTATAATCCAAAGTCTGCATTTTCTTATCAAGCTTATTGTTTTTCCTCATGTTCCAAAAGTTCACTGCAGTTACATTTCTTTTTTGAAGAAATTTGACATATTTCTATTATTAATTGTACTTACTCCATTCTGAAGACACCATTTATGTAGAATTTATCTTGTGTACCTAAAATAAATAAAAAATAAATGGGGAATGTGTCCATTAAACACAAATGATGCCCCAGCTGGCATATAGCGTTATAACAGAACATAACTCTAGAACGGTATAATTGATGCTACCCAAATTGATACTTGATTTAGTAATGTGGTAACAAGTATTGGGTATACGTTTAATAACATTTAGTAGAGGCAAACATAAGTTAGAGAATTGAAATGAAAAATTCAGCAATGTGTTCATTTGTAAAACTCTATAATTGTATAAGTGACGCCATAAAAAATCAAACTTGATCTGTATTTTGTGGTAATATGCATTGTGTATAAGATTCATAATATTTTGTGGATGTAACCTTTAGTTAGGAAACGGAAACAAAGAATTCAGCAATTTTTCGATTTGTAAAGGGGCATAACCATTTAAAAGGTAAAAGTGATGCCACCAAAATTCAAACTTGATCTGTCTTTTTTGTAATAAGCAATTAATTCGTGTATGTTGCTTTATCAATTAATTATCCATCAAAACTATTATTTACATTTTTTTTTATTTTTTATTTATTTTTCATAATTATGTTTTTCATACACATCTGAACTTACCAAACTTGTAAGTCAAGAGATTCTGTTCATATTCCAGACCTTCAATGGCGACAGTCAATTTGTATTTACAAGCATCAACAGATATTTTGTACAAGAAAGACCTTCCAATGATAGGGGCATCTACACAACACTGGAACCCTGTACAATCTGGTAATGTATAACAGGTTGTCTCTGTTTGTTTGATATATTCCAGTGTCAGGGACTGAGTAGTACAACCTGTTAAAAATAGAAAGCAGAATTTCAATCAACAGTCACACTATATCCATTTTCTACTTCAAAATATAGAGAATTATAGCGTAATTTCCATGATAATACACGTACACCTGACTAATAAATGAATACCATACATTATCAAGTTTGATATAAAGCCTTGGACAACTGGAATGCATCTCATAATGCAATGCAGATTCAATAATTCAGTTCTAAACAGTAATAAATGTTCGTAGATGCTGAGGATGTCTATAAAGAATAGACAAGCCTGTATCCACAAATTTAAATTTAAGAATTCCTCAACATTGCCAACAAACTGAATAAATGTCACATCTCCGAGTTAATACAGACTTATTTTTTAAAATACTTTATGGTTAACAAACATGAATTTATAATGTACTTGTTTTGCCTTTTCTCATCTTAAATACTTTCTCATATTTAAACAGGAACTTTTATATATACACATGCAAATCCCCAACACTAGAAATGCATCAAGTCATTAAACCATAAAAATAAACCAACAGCAACTTCAAAGCGTTTTACAGTTTTTTTTCATGCTATAAAATTTATTAATTTTAGTATAAATGGGACAGAGAAATTTTTGCCATTGATTTTTCACTTTCAGAGAATGAATTCTGAATATTTAGGTGTTCAATATAAATCAATGTCAGCAGGCAATAATTACAAGCAGGGAATAGCTGTTTAAAGATAATACTGAAGTAGAACTAGAGGCTCTAAAAAGCCTGTGTCGCTCACCTTGGTCTTTGTGCATATCATACAAAAGGACACTTTCCAACATTGTAGATGAGAATAGACTTCATGACAAAAATCTCTATTTTGTTGATCTTGTATTACTGATCTTTTAGTCTGTTTAGTTTCTCTCTATCTTCTTTATTTTTTGCTCAGGGTAAAATAAATCCTCATTTAAGGGCAATCACTCCTATGAAGAGTGACAGTCTACTAACTATATCGGCAAAATTTGACTCTTTAATAGATCTTGCCTTGCTGATCATTTTTGTGATTTAAAGTGTTTATTTATCTATTATAATTTAAATCATATAAGGCATAACGGGGAAAAAAATGTTTCTCTCTAAATATCATAGTTTTCATTATAATAGGCAAAAATGAAAAAAAATGGTAAAATTTGTCATTTATGGGCAATAACTCCTATAAGAATTTGTCTAATTGTTTTGATGTATATGAACAATTGGTAGAGCTCATTGTTCTGAACATTTTTGCTCCTTTCAGATTTTCTCTATTTATAACTGTTCAAAAAATAATAGACATAACTTGCATTTTACCCCCTATGTTCTATTTTTAGCCATGGCGGCCATCTTGGTTGGCGGGCAAGGTCATCGGACACATTTTTTAAACTAAATACCCTAATAATGATTGTGGCCAAGTTTAGTTAAATTTGTCTCAGTAGTTTCAGAGGAGAAGATTTTTGTAAAAGATTACAAAAATTTACAAAAACAATTTAAAAAAGACTATAAAGGGCAATAACTCCTTAAGGGGTCAATTGACCATTTTGATCATGTAGACTTATTTGTAGATCTTACTTTGCTGTAAATTATTGCTGTTTACAGTTTATCTCTATCTATAATAATATTTAAGATATAACCAAAATCTGCAAAATTTTCTAAAATATTACCAATTCATGGCCAGCAACCCAACAATGAGTTGTCTGATTTGTCTAAAAATTTCAGGGCAGATAAATCTTGACCTGATGAACAATTTTACACCATGTCAGATTCGCTCTTAATGCTTTTGTTTCAGAGATATACGCCAAAATCTACATTTTACCTCTATGTTCTATTTTTAGCCATGGCGGCCATCTTGGTTGGCCGGCCGGGTCATCGGACACATTTTTTTAAACTAGATACCCCAATGATGATTGTGGTCGAGTTTGGTTAAATTTGGTCCAGTAGTTTCAGAGGAGAAGATTTTTGTAAAAGTTAACGACGACGGACGACGACGACAGACGACGGACGCCAAGTGATGTGTAAAGCTCACTTGGCCTTTTAGGCCAGGTGAGCTAAAAAAAGTGGTGGATGGTTCATTTGTCAATACCCCACTTAACAAATTTTCTGGAAAATTTCAATCCCTCAAATGCTTGGCTTTTAATCTATAAAGCATCAGCCTAAAACAGTTATTTAAGGTCAAGTATACATATATGACATACATGAATCTGATGTTCAGTAGTTGTCGTTTGTTGATGTGGTTCATAAGTGTTTCATGTTTCTCGTTTTTTTATATAGATTTAGGCCGTTGGTTTTCCCGTTTGAATGGTTTTATACTAGTTATGTTTAGGGCCCTTCATAGCTGTTCGATGTGAGCCTAGGCTCCGTGTTGAAGACGACACACAGCATTTTTTAATTGGTGACGAGGCGTATCAAATTATAAACACTCGCCACAGATCAAAACAGATACGTTATAAGAAAAAGATAAAATCCTATGTGATGCTTTTGTATCATTATTGTTTCCGTGTTTATAGTTGAATTTCATTGTAATATCATGTGTTGAAGATTAAGGAAAAACTATAAACTGTAGGTACGCAGTACTAGTGTAAATACGGACAACTCGAGTGGAACTGTTTGTTTCTGCTTTTCTGGGTCTGCTTATTGAGTTAATGGGGGACCAGTCAAAAAGAATTTGTTGACACTGAAATTGGACTTTTAAAAGAACTTTCATCTGACCTAAAAGATCATAGTTGTTTACAGGACAAAGGGTCGAACATGATAGCTATGCTTATTGGACTCGATGTCATTTTTTGTGAATCGCGTCCAACTATTTTCAACAACTCCGCTTTCGTCATGTTACCAATGTCTTGACCTGAAAAGTTAGCTGTCTAACTGGAACTAGATTTGACAAGGTTACTCAATTAAATAAAATAGTAAAGAATAGTGTAATAAAAGTAGGATGAAAAGAACATTACAGTTCTTGTGTTAAGTGATCAATGCATGGGTGATAAGGACGTTACTTCTGAGGCTGAAACAACGCACATACTGTTTTGAATCCTTGAAATTTATTTTTCGTCTTCAGGTTTAAAATTATTCTCCATTAAGCACTATCTCCTATAAGTTATGTTTAAAAGCATGAAAAAGATTGTCCAATTAGTTATGAATAAAATACAGGCACTCTGTATAAAGACACTTATTTCAGTACTTCAGCAGAAAAAAGCACATCTGGTGAGCTAGCATAGGGTATCTTAACTGCCAAAAAAATAGAAAAGTACAAGCTAAAAAAACATTTTACTCATGTTTCAGACGCCTTCCTTTGATATTAAACAGCCAGATTTTATGCTATTTTACCTTTATATTCCATCCATTATATTGCCCTTACCTTTCATCCATCCATCGTAAGTAGTACAAAATGGTGAAGTCAGTCTGTTACAAGACTGCTCCAGTAAATACTGTGACACACTGGCTGTATTCAACACCTGCTGTACAAAGTAGCTAGGTAGTGTGGACACTCCCACTAAATTATAATGCCCTTACCTTTCATCCATCCATCGTGAGTGGTACCAAATGATGAAGTCCGTCTGTTACACGACTGTTCCAGTAGATATTGTGACACACTGGCTGTATTCAATACCTGCTGTACAAAGTAGCTAGGAAGTGTGGTGTCTCCCACTAAATTATATTGGCCTTACCTTTCATCCATCCATCGTAAGTGGTACCAAATGGTGAAGTCCGTCTGTTACATGACTTTTCCAATAGATATTGTGACACACTGGCTGTATTCAAAACCTGCTGCACAAAGTACCAAGGAAGTGTGGTGACTCCAACTAAATGGTAAGTCTGTCTCTTTGCTTCCAAGGAGAACCCTAAAAAAGGATAATAATGGAATTAATTGAACACAATAACCTTGCAATCAGGTTGTTTACTTTCTACATGGATTTCATTTCCTCTAACAATAAAAAATTTGTAACCGACAGCATTGCATTATCGTTAACAGGACACTTAAACAATTGAAAAAAAACAACTATGGACACAGAATTGAGCTTAACACAAGTATGGTTAAATAATTGTGCTTATAAATGGACAATAATGCTTCGGCTCAAATTAGTGGCAACATAAAAACGACTTCCAAATAAAGGGGGAAAATGTGGCTAATTGAAATAAAAACAAATAACAAAAACAATAAAACAAGTTATTTCCTTTCAAAATAGAACATTTTTCTAATATTTCCCTAAAACATATCATTTGAAACCAATATCAAGTTTTTGAATCATTTTATAATTTTATCCTATCTCATATTTCCTGTTTGATAAAAAATGCTAATATTCATTACCACTAATGTATCTAAAAACAAACAATCTTGATGACATTGCAAACTGAAATTATTCTAGCTCACAGATTTTCTTTTCAATAATAATTCTTTTCTCAAACTATAAATAATGTATTTCTTATCCTATTCATTTGATTCTAAATCAAACAATGAGCTACTTCTTAATTATCATTGAAATTGGTCAGATGAAACCAACACCTCGTTTCCAGAGATCTTTCCTAAAAAGTCATTTTCCATCTCTCAGCTTCATTTTCAATGATACACTTTTTTCAATATAGATCAAAATCAGGATAGACCACCTGCTAGACACATGGTTAACACTTGAATGGATTATGCTGTAAAGCAGTGTATATGCATACCTGTTACAACAAAGTCCCTGGAAAAGTCACAAGTTTTCTTGGGAAGTAAAGTGTTGACAAATATGTTCACAGGTCCAACTTCACATGCTCCTGATGACTCATAACATACACTCAAGTTCATGTTTACTAAGTACAGGTTCTCACTCAGTAAATTATGAATGGTGAAGCTAAAAAGTAAAAAAAAATAAAAATAAAGATAAATTTCATATTAATTCACCCAAAGCCAATAATAACTTATGGATGAATGAGTGTTTATAAATAGTATATTGATGACAATGCATTATGAAAATGATGATCTCAATTTAAATACTCATATAATCACAGTCTGGCTATGATTTTGTTGAAACACTTTTTTCTCAATAAGTTTCAATGTACATACACAGAAAAATAAAAAAAAAGTTTCAAATCTTCAATAAGAGGGGTAAACATGTTGCTGGTTTTTATACGTCATAAATTATCAAGAAAGCGTGTTCAAATTCAAAGAATTATAAGTTGAAAAATCAGATGTTACATATTACAAAATAATAACAAAACAATGATTAAAAGAACAATTTACTTACTCAATTCTAACAATTCCTCTAAGCCAAACTTGCCATAAATCTCCTAAAATATAATTATACGTGGAAAACTTATCGGAACCATGTCATAACAAAAACTTATATCCTTTTTATACATTTTATTAGCCCCTGTTTAATTTCTAATGTTTCGATAAGTAGTATGTATTCTAATGCAATTTGTTTATAATGATAATTTTCATTGGACGTTGACAAATATTTTGAAGGGTTAGATTCCACATTCTACCAGTCCAGAACTAAGAAAGCCACCATTTTGAATTCCGATTTTTTTTTTTGGTATGTTATTTCTCACAAAATAAACAAAAAAAGTCACATTTTGAGCCTCAATTTCTTCTTTATGGGATACAATACAGTTATCTCCTAAATTTACATTTATTGTAGCCTGTATATTCTAGATATAAAAGCAGTTTATGGGCCTAACTGCACATTTAATTTTGCTTAACTTGTTGCAAGCATAGATATAAGATTTTGTAAATCTGTTTTTCCAAAACATCATAAAATTTCAGAAATTACAATTGTTAGACCAACACTACAATGATATGGCAATTATTATAAACTACAGGCTCCAAGGAGCCTGTAGTCCTCACCTGATATTTTTTTTACAATTGATGTATGAAACAATGCAACAATAATACTTTTTTAAAGGAAACTGTGTGGATCAAAATCTAATCTTTCGTTTGATTTATACAGCTTTCAACCCATTTATTATTTCAAAAATTTGATTTGTCTATGTAGTTTCAGAGAAGATTTTAGTAAAAGATTACAAAAATTTACGAAAAATTGTGAAAATTGATTATAAAAATGCTGTCCTGAAAAAACCTTTTCTATCAGGGCCTGGGATATCCTTAAAAATCCCAATACTGGTCATTTTGTAAATCCTGGTATGTTAGCCAAGGGGAATGAAATGTATAAATGTACCATCTGCTTTCCATTTATGTTTGTGTAGACACTGGATAGGAAGTATTTTGAACATAAAGTGTGAGGCCAAATGAAGGAGAGCACATGGCTTTTTACATTTTCTGCAATTACTATAACTTTCAACATTTTAAAGATGGTAAATCAACAATAAATGGCTAATTTTTTTTATAATAATATATATCTAATATTCAAGCTATAGGTCCTTTATTCAACCGGGACACATTTGAAAGAGAAAGTAGAATTCAAACTTCTTTAAACAACCCTCAACTCATTTAGAATTTGAACTTGGACAACAAGCAAAGATGTCTTCTATCCTGAAGGAAATGGGTGCAAATGAAATAGTTCCAAAAAATTCTATATTTCAACATTAGATTAATAATGCAGATATATTCCTCTGGTAACATGACTGTTTGATTTTAAGGAGCATTGATGTTTACATGCATTTTGAATAATATCTTTTGGTAAGTACAAATAAATTAGATTCCACTATTTTGATTGTGTGCATATGAAAATAAGAGTAAAGAAATGACTTATAGAATGTTAACCTAAGATTTACTGTGATCACCATAATAGTTAGCAATACATGGTTATAAATAATGATTTTTTTTTAAATAGTATGTATGCTTTTAATAACTATAAAATTTAAATCAATATTCTTAAAAAAAATCAAGCTCAACACATCAAACAAAAACCACTGTCATATTCCTTACTTGGTACAGGTATTCCCTTTTGTAATTTCCTTATTCTGAATTGACTCAGTATTCCTAATTGATGTTTCAGAATCATTTAATACCTGTACCAAGTCAGGAATATGACAGTTGTTATCCATTCGTTTGATGTGTTTGATCTTTTGATTTTGTCATTTGTTTAGGGACTTCATTTTTTGAATTTTCCCAGTAGTTCAGTTTTTTTTGTGATTTTACTTTTTTTTGACACTATTTACTTTCCACTGCACTTTTGTTTTACCTTTTACTCAATCAATTCAGTTTTTCCCACGCACTTGAACTGTGCAGTTGTATAAGATCTAATGAGAGGTCTTGTGGTTAAAGTCACTGCATACGGAAAAGGTGTTGGCAAATTACAGTAAGGAATAAAAAGAATTCAATAGCTTAAATTTTGATAAGATGATGGATTTTTACATGTACACTTGTTTTAGTTAAACTTAGCCATTCAAGTACACAAAACATCTCAAGTTTTTCTTTCAAATTTGAACTTTCATATGACCTTAATTCATTCTCATTCATCTAAAATAAAAGTAGTTATAACACCCATTCTGGCTCTATTCTGGGAACTAGTAATTTACTGTAAATTTCATACCATATTGTTTTTCCAGTAGTCGGACATTGAAGTTCATTTTTTCTATCTGTACCATCATACGAGCATGACAGGGGTCAATATCTACTGAAGCATGAAAACTCCTGCCAAGTCTCGCTGAGAACATACTACAGTCTACTGCAGTACAATGTGGCTGAAGAGTACAATTTGCTGCAGGAGAAATGTCTGATAACTCTACCATACCCAATTCACATTCTGAAATTGTGAAAAATATTTCAACATATTTGCATTCCACTATCTAAATAAGTAAAAAGACATTTGAGGTTCAAATGTAACAGAGAAAGCATTTTGATTTACTAGCAAATATGTGCAACAACCCAAGAAGAGTAGATCAGTTTCAGTAAAAATTTATTCTTTTATAACCATGATTGGATAATTTGTTTAGAAAGAATTTTGTATTTCTATGAAAAAGAAATTTCGACATTATTTCAATTCTCTTATGATTGTGGCCTGTTATCTAATTCTTACATGAATAGATAGTTTTCGTATCACACTCCCCTCGTATCACACTGCACTGAGTGTGATACGAAATAGTGATACAAAAATCTGCTTTAATTACATTCTGGAGCGTACAAAAAGTCTTTAAATGTCTGATATTAAAGTTGGACACAGGAAAAGGACATATACATGTAACCTCATACAGGAATGTGCAATAGCCTAGATCAACATTTTTTAGAATTTTTAATTTACACATTGAAAGGGTTGACCATAAGAAAAATAGGTTAAACAACTTGTGAAAATTGGAGATTGCTTGTTATCAACTCTTGTTTTTTAATTTAAATAGTAATAATAAACTTGCCAACGGCTCTTTTATTATCATATTGAAATTGAATAAAATAACTCGAGTTGATATTAAGCGATATCCCATTCTCACTGATTATGAAACCTATAATTATCTCACCTTGTAATGTTATCTTTCGACTAAACAATTCACCATATCTCTCTCTCGATAATTTGATAATAAATACTATAACAAGAGTGCACACGCTGAAATGTCTCGCCTTCTTTACTAATCATTGATATTATGTTGATAGTCCTAAATATAAAGCTTTCTTACAACTGTCACATAAACTTAACATTAACCAAGAAAACTAAACATTGACCAATGAACCATGAAAATGAGGTCAAGGTCAGATGAACCATGACAGGCAGGCATGTACAGCTAACAATTCTTCCATACAACAAATATATTTGACCTATTGCTTATAGTTTAAGAAAAACAGACCAAAACACAAAAACTTAACACTGAGTAATGAACTGTGAAAATGAGGTCAAGGTGAAATAAAACCTGCGTGACTGACATAAAGATCATAAAATATTTCCATACACCAAATATAGTTCACCTATTGCATATAGTATTAGAAAAAAAGACCAAAACTCAAAATCTTAACTTTGACCACTGAACCATGAAAATGAGGTCAAGGTCAAATGACACCTGCCAGCTAGACATGTACACCTTACAATCATTCCATACACCAAATATAGTTGACCTATTGCTTAAAGTGTAAGAAAAACAGACCAAAACACAAAAACTTAAAATAAGCAATGAACCTTGAAAATGAGGTCAAGGTCAAATAAAACATGCCAGACTGACATGTACATCGTAAAATATTTCCATACACCAAATATAGTTGACCTACTGCATACAGTGTAAGAAAAACAAAACAAAACACAAAAACTTAACATAAGCAATGAACCTTGAAAATGAGGTCAAGGTCATATAAAACATGCCATACTGACATGTACATCAAAAATATTTCCATACACCAAATACAGTTGACCTATTGCATACAGTATTAGAAAAACAGACCAAAACACAAAAACTAAACTATTACCACTAAACCATGAAAATGAGGTCAAGGTCAGATGACACCTGCCAGCTGGACATGTACACCTTACTATCATTACATACACCAAATATAGTAGACCTATTGCTTATAGTATCTCAGATATGGACTTGACCAAGAAAACTTAACCTTGTTCACTGATCCATGAAATGAGGTCGAGGTCAAGTGAAAACTATCTGACGGGCATGAGGACCTTGCAAGGTACGTACATACCAAATATAGTTATCCTATTACTCATAATAAGAGAGAATTTAACATTCCAAAAAATCTGAACTTTTTTTTCAAGTAGTCACTGAACCATGAAAATGAGGTCAAGGACATTGGACATGTGACTAACGGAAACTTCGTGACATGAGGCATCTATATACAAAGTATGAAGCATCCAGATCTTCCACCTTCTAAAATATAAAGCTTTTAAGAAGTTAGCTAACGCCGCTGCCGCCGCCGCCGTAGCCGCCGCCGCCGCCGGATCACTATCCCTATGTCGAGCTTTCTGCGACAAAAGTCGCAGGCTCGACAAAAATTAAAGAACCTTAGTGAGCACGCTCACATACCCCACGTCCCCACATTGTCACTGGAGAAATAAAATAACTGTAAGAAAAAAAAATTGTATAAGAAAAAAAAATTGAATCATAATTTCCTGTCGATATACACATCTACATAGTATGTCCTTATTATCTACAAAGTTTCATGAAATTTTGTTGTGTGGTTTCAGAGGAGTTGAGATGACAAACTGTTGCAGTAGTACATTAAAGTAAATAAGTTCAAAGGGGCGTAACTCCTAGAAAAAAAATTAAATCGTAATTTCCTGTCGATATGCACAATTACATAGTATGTCCTTATTATCTAAAAAGGTTTCGTGAAATTCTGTTGTGTGGTTTGAGAGGAGTTGCGATGACAAGAAACAGGACTGACGGACTGACGGACGGACAGACGGACGGACGGACGGACGGACGGACAGACGGACGGACAGACGGACGGGTCAAAAACATTATACCCTCCGCAACTCGTTGCGTGGGGTATAAAAAATCAGGGGACATAACTGATAATTCATGTCATACTCTAATGGAAACATATAAATGTACTTACCATTATTCCAACCATTACTACTGACATTAACTACAGTAGAACCAGTTGCTTCATAGAACTTAACAATGCCAAGGACTTCTTCAAGGTCGTCTAGTGCATCACCTGTCAGGGGTGTGGCATCTGTATATCCAGTTGTATTTAGCCAGTTGATAAAACTAAATCCTAAATAATACAGATAAAACTGATGAGTGTCTTGTTCATATCTGCAGAAAACAAATCACTGTCTTCTATTCAATGAATATATATGTCAATTTTAAACTGATAAATAGTTTTACAAAAGCTCCCTATTTTCTTTTTGTTAACTTCAAATTTAGATAATTTAGTTATCTTCTAAATTGATATTATTGTGAATGATTCTTCATTGTTTATAAACAACTTTTCAAAATAAGTTATTACAAAGTTGGTTTTAACATGAAACACTGAGCTTCTTTAAATTAAACAAAACTGCATGTGTTGTTGTTGGTGGTGTTCCTATTATTGGAAGTCTAAAATCAGTTGGTTCATCTCAATGATGTCGATAATCAATTGGGATTTTGTTAAATCAATTGTTCTAATCATTTCCGTTATATTAGCAAATCTACTTCTAGTCAATTTCTAATTTTCCTTTAACGTGCACAGTCAGACAAATTTTAACAAAAATATCAGTTGATGACAATTAAACAATGTCCAACATTCAAAAAGATTGGTGAAGGAAAAAAATTCTATGAAGTATTTTCTTTCACTTCTGGTACTTGTTACTGAAGAGCGTACATCATAGCATTCTGATTTTTGACAAAATGGATTTGAAACTAAGTAAGTACGTTGTAGAAATTTCTTTTAGCTAATTTTTCTAGGTTTTCTAGGCTTTTTCTGACATTGTTTATCATCTTAATATCGTGTTAAATTATTCTTTAAGTTGTCTTTGTATATATATTAATACTTTTACTGTTTAGTCTATTGTTTGTAATATTCATTTGACGTGGCTCAGTACTTATAAAACCCGTCATTGTGTTATTGTGCTATGGTAAATTTTTGTATTCTTGTCTTTTGTTTTTGCTAATGTGTTTTGTCTATATGCCTTTTCGTTTTTCTTTGTTGACATATTTGTTTGTTTTTATAGTGATTAAGATTATAACACAATGTTTAATCTATTATGTCTGTTTGATTGTTCACTCATCGTTATCAATATAATGGAAATTCATGTGACTGTCAGAGGTTTAGCTAGCTATAAAACCAGGTTTAATCCACCATTTTCTACACAAGAAAATGCCTGTACCAAGTCAGGAATATGACAGTTGTTATCCATTCATTTGATGTGTTTCAGGTTTTGATTTTGCCATTTGATTAGGGACTTTCCGTTTTGAATTTTCCTTACAGTTCTGTATTTTTTTATTTTTTTTATTTTGAATAGATCCCCTTAGTTATATGTATATATTTCTATAAACATATTTTTTTATAATATAGAATAGTTTACCTCATATAAAATTAATTGATAAATGATAGTTACTTTTCTTTTTCATTGAAAGAGAAATCTTTCAATAGCGCTAAATACAATTAATTACTTGGTAAGTATCTAACAAGGGAATTTATATAATTGTGTAATTATAAATGACATTTGAAGACATAAAATGAGACGAATTAACTTTAATTGTATTCTCAGGTACAAATAGATATAATTAAAACAAGAGGCTCTTAAGAGCCTGTGTTGCTCACCTGTATCTACTGTGGTTTTGGAAATCATGTAAAATACGGTTTAAATCATAATAAATAGTATTAGATACCCTAATAATGATTAAGGCCATGTTTGGTTTAATTTGGCCCAGTAGTTAAATGAAAAGCAGGTCATCCCACTAGTAACTAGACTGACAATAGTTACTGAAGACCCCTTATCATTATTTAAATTAGTTTTCAAGTTGTGATCATTTGAATTTGTTTTTTTATAATTTTCCCTTAGACTTCTATAGTAAATCCCTATGTTCTATTTTTAGCCATGGCGGCCATGTTGGTTGGTTGGCAAGGTCATCGGATATATTTTTTTTAATCAAGATATCCTATTGAAAATTGTGGCTAAGTTTAATTCTATTTGGCCCAGTAGATTAAGTGGAGAAGATTTTTGAAAAAGATTACAAAAATTTATGAAAAAAATTGACTATAAATGGCAAAAACTCCTTAAGGGGTCAATTGAAAATTTTGGTCATATCGACTTATTTGTAGATCATACTTTGCTAAACATTATTGCTGTTTACAGTTTATCTCTATCTATAATAATATTTAAGATAACCAAAAACTGCAAAATTTACTTAAAATTACCAATTCAGGAGCAGCAACCCAACCACAGGTTGTCTGATTCGTCTAGAAATCTAAGGGCAGATAGATCTTAACGTGATGAACTTTTTTGCCTCACGTCAGATTTGCTCTAAATGCTTTAGTTTCAGAGATATAAGCCAAAAACTGCATTTTACCCCATGTTCTATTTTTAGCCATGTCGGCCATGTTGATTGGCAGACGGGGTCATTGGACACATTTTTTAAACAAGATACCATGTTGATTGGCAGACTGGGTCATCGGACACATTTTTTCAACAAGATACCCTAATGATGATTGTGGCCAAGTTTGGTTAAATTTGGTCCAGTAGTTTCAAAGGAGAAGATTTTCGTAAAAGATCACAAAAATTTACGAAAAATTGTTAAAAATCAACTATAAAGGGCAATAACTCCTTAAGGGGTCAATTGACAATTATGGTCATGCAGACTTACTTGTAGATCTTACTTTGCTGAACATTATTGCTGTTTACAGATTATCTCTATCTATAATAATATTCAAGATAATAACCGAAGACTGCAAAATTTCCTTAAAATTACCAATTCAGGGGCAGCAACCCAACAACGGGTTGTCTGAATCGTCTAAAAATTTCGGGGCAGATAGATCTTAACCTGATGAACACTTTTACCCCATGTCAGATTTGCTCTAAATGCTTTAGTTTCAGAGATATAAGCCAAAAACTGCATTTTACCCTTATGTTCTATTTTTAGCCATGTCGGCCATGTTGGTTGGCAGGTGGGGTCATCGGACAAATTTTCTAACTATATACCCTAATGATGATTGTGGCCAAGTTTTGTTAAACTTGGTTAAATTTGGCCCAGTAGTTTCAGAGGAGAAGATTTTTGTAAAAATAAACGACGATGGACGATGATGGACGACGACAACGGACAACGACGGACGCCAAGTGATGAGAAAAGCTCACTTTGCCCATTAGGCCAGGTGAGCTAAAAAAATCAGTCAGAGACCAGCTACTGGCAGATAGCACTTTCTAATTCATATTTTGTTACAGCTATATTTATATAAATAATTACTTTCATTGTCTTGAATAAATGTTTATATTACAAGACAAAATGTGTTTAATTTTTATCTCGTCTCTAATTGATTCACTGTTTTAATTGCTTACTAAACTATGATAAGTAAGCAGAAGAACAAACATTAACAGATATTGCTCTCTGCAATAATATTGAATATATGCATAAGACATATTCAACAGTCAATGTGGCAAGTTAAAACAATGCCATTATAACGGATAGTCTGTTAGTTGATGTTAACCTATAGCAATTGATAATCAGTTGGTAATTTCATCTGATTATCCATCACTGGTTCTTTCACATGACAGTTAAATTTGATCACAAGTTGTGCTAAACGTTCATAACTTATTAGTATTTTTTTTAAAGTATTTTTTGTGAGAAAAGTTGCTGTCCTTTTATTTACCTGTCTGAGCAAAGTTTGTCTTTGTTTCACATGTATGTTTAGGTAACAATGTATTCTGGAAAACGTGTGACACAAACTGACAATCTTGACCACTGCTCCAACAGATACTGACCGTCATGTTGACCACATACATTCCACTGTATATCAGATCATCCAAAGAGAAACTATAAATACAAATCAATGAAATAAGTTATAGTTCATCAAAGTTTCATGAAAACAGCTGAAAGCATTTTTGAGTTATTGTCTGAAAAATGGAAAATCCCCCCTTTTTTAATGAATTAAACCACATAACTTGGAAACGTAAAATCTAAAATTTATTAAAATATAAAGTCAATAGATATAAACAATTCACCAAAGTTTCATGAAAGCTGATTAAAGGATTTTTGAGTTCTTGTCCAAAAACAGGAAAATCACCCTTTATTAATGAATAACACCCAATAACTCGGAAACTTAAAATCCAAAATTTATAAAAAAAAACAAAAGGGAGCTCGTTCAAACATTAATTTAATGAATATTTCTGACAGAAGTTAACCAAAGAATCGAACTGTTTTAGTTTCAAAGAGGTATTTTAGTGACATCTATTAAGTACACATTTTCTGCACACTATCACCTTATTTGCCTGCAATTTACACATTACATTCTAATTTCCAATTAATGTGAAACACAACAATTATCATTGCTTTTCTTATGATTTTGGCTTGTTTTACACTTGTGAAGTGTTCTGTAATTATTTACAAGGATTTATTACATCTACTGAAAAGAACACACACACTTTAAAAATTACCAGAGATTCACTCAACTTTTTAACATGTGATGAAAAGTTTTTTCCTAAATATTTCTAGGTGAAAAGGAGGAAGATAACGGTAGGTCTCACAAAAATGCCCAAAAAAAATCTATGTTTTAAAATATCAGTACACAAATATTCTATGAACCTTAGTTTAAAGACTTGCATAGGTGTGATAGAATAATTTTTGAAATGTAGAAATTCTCAACGTTATATCTGGTTTTCTAGAATGAGTGTTACCTAGTGTATAATATTAGACAGAAACTTGTATAGTGTTGCATCAATGAAAAGAGAAGCAGAAGATACTATTCAAATTTATAAGACAAAAACAAACTGACAACATCATGCATATGACATAAAAGAGGAATAGATTTACAGCAGTCAACAAAACACAACATAGAAAACTAAAGAATTTGCAACTCAAACCAAGTCAAAAACTTGGGTTTATCACAGATATTCCAGAGGTGTAAGCAGATCTTACTACACATGTGACATCTGTCATGTTACTCATGTAAGTACAAGTTTCATGATGTCACAATGGGGGAAAGAAGACAGAAATGTGGTTAACTACAATAGGAACAAATAAATAAAGAGATATACTATTGGATATTTTCTATATATTAGTCTGTTAGGTCAGAAATCATCTGACTAGTCAATGTGTAAGCCCTTTTGTAATAAATAAACAGAATTTCAAGAAATATGTAACAGTTTCATAGAAAAATATAGTGTTATTTTATTCATAGATATATAGAGGTCCTTTCCTGACATGCTTTCAATTATATCATACAAAAGGTTTCCTAATTTGTTTAATTTCAATTTATCACCTCACTCTGTATATACCACCAAGATTTAGCTCATAACTCTTCTCTGAAAATATAAAATAAACAAATATTATAATCTCAATAAATAATGCTCATAAAAAGACACCTTTTGTTTAATTTATTTCTTTTGATTTAGAAGCCTTAGACAAGAATATATCTTTACCACATGATTTCTCATTTTGAAGGGTTCTCTGTTACGGAAATAAAAATTATATTCACCGAATTAAAGTCTTTCAAAATGTTGAACTGCAATATGGAAATTTAAAAAATTAAATTAGAGTATACATATTTTGATAAATTCCTAGGGTATGTACTTTCCCCAGTTTTATTTTCATTGATGATAAGGTCAGCTTGTCAGCTTGGCAGCTTGGCAGTTTTGTTTTAATTAAGAGATTAAGGGATAGGTGTTAGATCATAGATAGGAAACAGCATGATGACAGCATGGGTGTAATCAGAGAACATCTGTATATAATTTTGATAGGATGGTCAGTTGTCGTTTGAGCATTGCACTGTTAGCAGTCATATTTTTACTTGTGGAAAATTAATTCAATAAATTTACTTTTCGTTCTCTTGAAGTTATAGTTTTATTAATTGTGAATCAAAACTAGACTTATAATATTTTTAGTGGACTAAGAATACGTTTTTTATTGGACTTGTCATCTGGAAACATATTCATACTGGAGTTGCGTTCTTACCATGGATATTTATTTTTGTACCCGTTTTTAAGTACGGTTAAATAACGACTTCATTATTAACCTAGTTTAAGTGATAGCTTTTTTTTCCGTTATGGGTACGGTCAGACGCAGATCAAAAGGACAACCACAAGTGCAATACGACCTCGAATTGAAAGAAAATTTGACTCTATAAAGACTTCGTCAAAGTGCCAAAAAACGCAAAGAGGTTGACTTTAGTGAGAATTCTCAAAAGTGTTGAAGACTTTTCTCGTAGTGACAATATAGCGGAAACAGCGGATAATATTGCAGATACAGCAGATGAAGCGACAACTATATATGGTGGTACGCGATCCCATGATGAAACAGTTCGTATTCAAGAGGAACACGTGGTTTCAACTTCCACTCCATCAAATGAGGGAAGAACTTTAATAAACTTAGTGTCGAGACTATCGTCCACCGTACAGTCTCTCCAGCAGAACGTATCTTCTTTAAACGGGAAGGTGGACTCCCTATTAGTGGTCCAACCAACTACTCGACAGGAAGAGGTAGCTGTTTCTACTTTCACTTCAACCGGAAGTCATCGTGGTGAAGATGTAAACAACTCGGGGAATTCCCATAACCTGGAGTCTGCATACGCATCCTTCAATAGGAATACTATACCAGCAGCGGCAGCTGGAAGCGAAAACCAGGAAGCGAGAAGTGTACGAACGGCAAGGGGATATTCGGCGGAAACACTGCCATTCGTGGAGACAATTTCTCCCCAGCTGAGGAAGAACATCATTTCAGGTTTGGACATTTACCTTGCCTCCGTACTTATTCCGTATTATGTGGGGTCTGGGACTAATGAAATGTTTGATGGGGATGATAAAATTTACAAAACTGAGCCTAGGCTCACTAGATCTCTTTCCATTGGCGAGTTCATCCAGGCGTTTAGTATATATAAAAGTGTAATGTGCTTTGCCTTCCCCACCAGAGAAGTGAACTTGATTCTTATGAGAGGGATATCGTCGATATGGCCACTCGCTACCCAGGTAAGGGTTTCTACGAATACCACAGACGATTTTCTTTAGATGCCGCAGCTCATATGCGTTTTAACAACATAGCAGTCGATTGGTCTATTAGAAATAATACTCTCTTTTGTAACATATTTGCAAATACACGTCCTAATTAAGAAATTAGGTTCTAAATCATGGCTTATTAAAACGGATATAACCGCCGCATTTAAAATTATGCCTCTAAAACAGGACTTATGGCCTTTTCATGGAATACAGTGGGATGATAAGTTCTATTTTTTCAAAAGGTTAGTCTTCGGATGCAGATCTTGTCCTACAATATTCGACACACTTTCCACAGCTATATGCCAAATTAAATATGGTATTCAAAATATACTACATCTGCTAGATGATTTTCTGTTCATCGAACATAAAGAAGTAAACGCACAAGCAACCATGACCAAATTGTTAAATGTGTTCAAAGAATTGGGTATACCAATGTCAGCTAAGAAAACAGAAGGTCCTTGCGTAGTCTTAGAGTATTTGGGTATATCCTTAGACACAAACAAAATGGAAGCTCGTCTACCTAGAGAAAAGATTGTTAGAATTAAAGAGATAATTCACATTTTAGTAATCGTAACAAATGCACAAAACGAGAACTTTTGAGCCTTTTAGGACATTTGAACTTTGCTTGCAGAGTAATTGTACCTGGGAGATCTTTCGTATCACATCTGATTAAGTTGTCCACTAGGGTTAAAAAACTATCACATCACGTGCATATCAAGGCTTGCAGACCTGATCTAGTTATGTGGTCCAAGTTCCTGAATAATTGGAATGGAGTTTCATTTTTCTGAATGACAACATTGTTAAGGCTGCAGACATGCAACTTTTTACATATGCAACATTAACTTCTTTTGGCGGATTTTACCAAAATCATTGTTTTCAGGCAATTTCCCGGGAGATTTGATATTGACAGAAGATTCCTCTATTGCATTTTTCGAACTATACCCAATCGTTATGGCTTGTGTACCTTGTGGGCATAATTGGCCTAGGAACCGTATACTTTTTTATTGTGATAACTTAAATGTTGTTGAAATTATTACTAAAGGTCGTTCAAAGATTCCAAGTATAATGAAGTTAATGAGGAAGTTAACTTTTCATTCCGCAATACATAATAATGTGGTTCATATACGAAATATTCCTGGCACACAAAATACAATAGCAGATTCAATTTCTCGTTATCAGATGGAGAAATTTCGAAAGCTGGCACCAAAAGCAGATCAAGAACCCACACCTTGCCTAGCACCAGCCCTTTTGATGATGGTCTAACTAAGCAAGTTGAGGAACTGTGGGAGGCATTCTTATGTATAAGTACTAGAAAGACTTATAATTCTGGCTTTCTATGTTTTAAAACATTTATGGCTATGACTTATCAGAATCATATAAATAGTGTGCCAATAATAGATGAGGATTGTTTAATTTATTTTGTAACCTATTGCAAGAATTCTCTTAAGCTAGCCCATGCTACAATTAAATTGTATTTAGTAGGAATTACGCATAATTACTTAAGAATAGTGCATCCTGACCCTTTGACAAATTGTGCATGCTAAGAGTGTATATTAAGAGGTATTAAAAAGTCTGCAGTGCGCATTTAATCTAGCTATTTTTTGGATTTCTCCTATGTGGTGAATTTACGTATAGTAGTAAAATTGCATGGCAGGACACACTTTTAATTCAAAATATTAATTAAGACATAAATTTTCAAAATTTTACATTACATCTGAATTCCTCCAAATGTGACCCATTTCGAGAAGGTATTAACATTACTTATTTTTGAAAATGATATTTTCAACCCAGTTGATTTGATGAGAAGATATATACAAGTACGAACAAATTATGGAGCTAGACCAGATTCCTATTTATTTGTTAGTGATGAGTATAATAACGCTCCTTTGTCTAGAGATACACTTATATCTCTGCTTTGAGATTTGCTGTTCAGATTAGGGTATAATGATAGTAAATTTTGTGGTCATTCTTTTCGAATTGGTGCTGCTAAATCAGCAGCAGCAGGGGTTGAGGATCATATTATCCAGACATTAGGTAGATGGTCATCCGATTGTTATATACGTTACATTCGAACTGACCAAAAAACTGTTTGTAAAGCACAAAGCAGAATGTGTCGTTCCTAATTTTTTATACATGTTTTGTTCTATATCAAAGGAGTTATAAGAACTACATTTTGTTAATATTTTAGTATTGTAGTTATATATTTTTTTTTTTTTTTTTTTTTTTTTCCATACATGAATTTATATTCTAGTACTTTTTCTTTCTAATGGTGTATTGAATTATTTTTTATTTTTTTACATGTATCATTTCTTGGGGCTTTCACTCATGCTACTCATTCAATTTGGCCTACTTATTTCAGGGAAATTATTTTCCCCCCAATTCATTAATACATCTTATAAATTATTAATGCTTTGTTTTATTTAAAGGTGATAATTAAGTTAGTTTTTGTACCGGTTGGGATCTACTGCAGGAATTCTCATTTTTCAAAATTCATACTTGTCTCGGCTCTACCACTCAGGTTCTAAAAGTACCTGTTGGGATCTACGCAGGATTTCTCATTTTCCAAAATTTATACTTGTCTGGGTTCTACCAGTCAGGTTCTAAAAGTACCTGTTGGGATCTACCGCAGGAATTCTCAGTTTTCAAAATTCATACTTGTCTGGGCTCTACCACTCAGGTTCTAAAAGTACCTGTTAGGATCTACCGTAGAAATTCACAGTTTTCAAAATTCATACTTGTCTGGGCTCTACCACTCAGGTTCTAAAAGAACCTGTTGGGATCTACCGCAGGTATTCTCATTTTTCAAATTTATACCTGTCTGGGTTCTACCAGTCAGGTTCTAAAATAAAATGTTCACCTGTCAGAGCTCTACTGCAGGTTCTTCAAATTGCATAATTTAGGCAATTTATTTTTTAATTAATTTAAAATTATGTTGAGTAGGTAGTGTTTTTAATTTGGTTATATAGAAAATGCTTCCAACTCATTTATATGCAAATTAGAAGCAAAGGTAAAATCTGTTCCCAAGTTAACATAAAACCAATCATTTTCATAAAAGCCACCAGCTACTGATCTTCATGCATCTGTTGCAACAGATGTCAGTGGTCACTGTCAGTGGTCACCGGTCCAAAATTAGAGATTTCCCGTTAAAAGTGGACATAAAATTATGCCACCAAAGAATGTCATCCGCAATATCACCTTTAAGATTCGACTTATGGCAGTCTCGCTTTAATCGTGTAATGCTATTTATGATACGCCGAAGAAAAACTCTTCTGCCACGTACCACTGCAGAAGACCAATTTAATTTCCCTGCAAGGGATTGCTAAATGCTTTTTTGTCGCATGTGCACGCTTTGAAAAGTCAGCTAAATCCGCTTTTAGCTCTGCTAGCTTTTTACTTGGAAGTCGAACTTCCATTTTGGATGAATCTATTTCAACACCCAGAAAAGTAAGTTGTTGACATGTATCACCAACCTTTGACCAACTTATAGAAAACCCTAATACCCTTAGCAAGGTAATAAGTAAATTCATACCTTCCCTGCAGCGTGATTTAGTTTTCTTGCAGATGAAAAAATCATATAAGTAAGCAACAGTGGTAAAACCTCTGCATGACATCATACGTCTTACAGCCTGAGACAAACGATGAAAGATACTAGGGGCTAATTTTGAGCCAAATGGGATTTTGCGATCAAATAATGTGTATTCTTTCCCATTAGGAAAAATCCATCAAAAAGCCTGTGACTTTTTGACTTGCTTCACTTATTTTAACAGATCTATACGCGGACTTCAAGTCCATTTTTGACATGTAACAGTTGGGGGTTACAAGTTTAATAGCATCCTCAATAGTCTGAAATTTTTGTTTTGAAATTTCCCCCGCAAAATCATTAACTGCTCTGCCTGCAGGCCTACTAAAATCATGAATAAGCCTAACACCTCCCTCTGGTTTGGAAATTACACCAAGTGGAATTATTATTTTTGGGGTTGTTGTTGCAAAAACATAATTGCCATTTTCAATTTCTACCAAAATCTGATCATGAGCTTTACTATAAAGAGGACTTGAAGGCATAGCAGATGGATGATTTTTTGCCTGAACTTTGGGAGGAATGTCTAAAGACTCTACTATATCGACTCCAAATTGAATGCCATGTAAAATGAAATCTTTATCAAAATCATCTTGAATTTCTTTTTCTCATACTGACAGATTTAGGTCACGCAAAGACTTTACCATTATTCCTGGTTTTTTGCAAGGTTTCGTTAAGAATGAGTGTGGGCAGGATGTTTGTTAGCACAACCAGGTACAGCGCATACATGCTCAAACCTACAAGCAGACATGAAACACCCCTGTCTGCTATTAAATCGCCTACAGATTTCCCTACCCCCTGATGTATGTGATGCATACTATAAAATCAACTATAAAATATAGAACGTTCTGTCATACTCACCAAAGTCAAAATCAATTAGAGATACTTCAAAACTATATTTCTCTACTCCAACCAGTAAGGTGAATTCGCAGGGGTCTAGACTAAGGTAGGCATTGAAGTCACTCATAGTCTCAGGGTCATTGACACAACAGGACACTTCTGAACATTTACTACCAATCAAACAAACAATATATCGATCAAGGACAGCAGGGGACACTCCTAATGTACAGTCTGCAAAAAAAAATGTTATAATTATATTGACTTGCACAAAATAATTAAGAAATTCATTTAATATAGATTTTAAATTTCCAAATTAATTGGAATCAATCTGATTAGTTAATGAATAATGAATTAAACTTCAACCTTTTTTGTTGTTGTATATATATGGGTTTTGCTTTATTCTGCATCATTCTTCTAAAAATGAAGCAATACTAAAAAGGACAAATATCTGTATTTCTTTTGTTTAAAAATTTTCTGGTTCATAATATGGTTTTTTAAAGTGAATAAAGTTTGTCATGATTTATTTTTGATGATTTGGAAAACAAACAGACTATTTTCATCTAAAATTAGGTAAAATTTATTTTCATAAAGGGCTGATTTAAATGATTTTCTTATTCATCAAAAGCCAATACCCAACACTTATTAGAAAGAAAGCTTATTTTTATAAGCTTTCATTCAGAATGCTGTCTGAATTATGACAAGGTCTAAAGAAAATGATTTTATTCTCCACTATTTGAAACAATTTTTCATTTACATGCTTTTAAAAAGTAAAATCACAAAAATACTGAACTTCGAGGAAATTTCACCACGGAAAGTCCCTAATCAAATGACAAAATCAATTGATAAAACACATCAAACGAATGGACAACAACTGTCATTGCATGTGTGATTTAATAAACGGAACATTTTAGACTTACTAATAACCCAACCATCTAGAGATCTTTTGTAGTCTCCCATGGTATGATTACAGCGAGGTTTGTTTTGGTAGAAAGCTACTTCTGTGTCTTCCAATATTTTGGCAATCTGCCAGGAGTTCAGTATAGCATCATCTCCAAGGCCTTGGCTTGTCTTCCATTGTTCCTTTGTAAAACCTGAAAAAGATAATAGAAAAAGAATTAAAAAAACTGTAAGGTTAGTTACATAAACAGATGAGAAATTATTGCATCTATGTTCCCTTCCTGTCTCATCAAAAACAAAAAAGCCACATTTCTTTACCAACATGAATTCGTAACATTAACCAAACTATATCATACAAAATATTGTGACACATCATTTTTTGGCATTATCATGCTCTAAAATTTGATGTTATTTAAAAGATGTGAAAAATCCATTGTTAATCACCAAAAAAGTAAACATAAGCATGTACTACATATCAAATAATTATTAATGAAAAAGATGTAATTTAACCTACCAACTTTAGCATATCCATAACCCCAATGTGGGAGACATGAAGATCTTGGTAGTTCTACACTGTCCATTACTGTAAGGCTGTACTCACATGATGCACCATTGGTGGTACACACCTCAAACATAACAGATACCCTGTACAGATTCTGGTCTGGCAAATCATCTATTGTGTACCTGGAAAGAAAAAAAAAATCATGTGTAAAAGTATCTTACAGTTATCCTTTTTAAATGACAGTTATAAAGAAATCTTGATGTTATAATTACTGGTTCATGGAACAAGTTTGAGTTATTTACCTTTGATCAGAAATATGATTGAACATATAACTCTAACATTAGATATGATTTAATGACTGAACATAACTCTCTAAAATTAGATATGATGTAGCACAATGTATATCTATTTTCAAATTATAATCAAATATAATAAATAGTTCCAAATATTTTATCTTTCATTTGTCACAAACTTTTATAGATGTCACCAACTTTATCTACACAATGTAATGTAAAGCAATATATCCTTTGATAAAAATAAATTATTATCTAATTGAACGAGTTCACTTCATAAAAAATAATGTATATAGCATTCGGTAAATACGTTTATATAGAATAACAAACAAACCTAACACAAATTATTTAAACAATTTACCAAAGAAAAGAAAAAAAGATCCAAAATGTAATTTATCATAAAATACAATGTCTTTGAAAAATCAGTCATTTCCATTTGAACAGAAATGGATTAGTTCATCAAAAATTGAATTCTTGGAAAAGGGCTATAACTGAACAAGAAAAGCTAAAATTGTGAGAATTAAACTTGACCTTCATTTAGTCACAGGAAACAACATATCTAAATTTGAAAAAATCCTTCAAGGTGTTTTCAAGTAAATAAACAGACACTGTTTGGCAGCCGCTAAAATAGCTAAATGATCCAAAATATCATTTATCATTAATACAATGTCTTTGAATCAAAAGCTGATAGCTCTGAGGTGGAAGAAGATGCATAAAAGGTAACTTGAATTACCATGGAAGCAGCCCACACCAACCCAGCCTGCTCTGTCCCATAAATGCTTTCGACGTATTTTTTTCTTCCAAAAATAATATTCTTTAAATATACCCATGTCTCAACCAAAACAGACTATACTAAAATTAAAAATCTTCAAATACTGTTGATTCAAATTAAATTTTCTATAATTCCATACTTTCGTCTCAGCATGGTAAACTTGATGCAAGCAATCATACCAGTAATGGATTAGGTTTCACTTGAAACTTTTTCTGTCAAAGGTAGATAGTTCACTGTGGGTATTCCGACTTCCTTCATATAAATAAAACTGGCCACCATGATTTTGTCAAGTGTGCTTAAGGTAGGGTTTAACACCAACATCAATTGGTTAATCATGAATTATTAGAGGTGTTCACAGTTACTTGTTTTTTTCTTCATTATAAACATATATTGAAAAATGCTAAATGTATCCAATGCAGATTTGTCTCAGGTCAGGGATTGGGTTTTGAGCACTTGTTAACATTTCAAACCTGTTCATTTTCTGTATGTGCTTGACCCAAGTCGGGAACCACTAATTTGCTTGCTGTAAATCATTTTTTTTTTTTTCATCTAATATTTTTACACAAAAGTAAGAGGGTAGGAATGCCCTTTTCCGTCAGGCGTCAAACTATCATTTTCTGAAATGTTTCATGAAAAATAATACGATTGACAGCAACGAATTACTAGTTCCGTACTCGAGGGTCGTAATGGGGGTACCTTCATGACGAATAACGGTAAAAAGCTGGACTATTTATTTGTAAAATCCTGCTTTTGATCACTTAAAACTTTGAAACGTAAGGCAATAAAGGTAATTATTCACTGACATGAAAACTACGTACTTTCGATATAGATTCCGTCAACTGACATTAGTTCGTACATTGATATTTCTGTCAACTGACGGTGCATCGTTTGAAGTGTAAAACACCATCAGATTAACGTGTGCGCTCGACTCTTTATTATCGCAATAACATACTGAAATATTCCAACTTTTGTTTTAAAAAACGCATGTTTTCTTAAACCGGAATATGACTTGATTGAGTTAAAGATCTGAACACAGACAGAACAACTAAATCCGTGTATTTTTGTCAAGTATCATTGAGTTGTAGTCGTACTCTCCGCGTAGATACTTGAAATTAACAAAAGATGTATTGTATGAATTAATGAAAATTCTGTTCATTATTTGAACTTTCGGATGCACAAATAAATTTCCAATTTGAGCAGATGCGCAGATACGTAACCAACGTGGTTTGAATTAACCCGAATAATCCAGTTGTTTTATTCCGATTACTCCAACGAGAAAAGCAGTGGATAGAGGGCGCTGAATCATTGGAGATTTCATTCAAGTTTCAGATTATAATTAAATTAACGCATGCGTACTACAAAATCTACATTAAAAACATCTGGTTACAAGTAAATGAATAACGTACATGTAGGATGAGATGGAATCTAATAATTGGCATAAATAAAAAAGGTAGATATTAAACATGAGAAATTATAACACTAACAATAATGATTGTTTTTTAAAGCCTAACTGTACATTTTTTATAAAATGATGCAGATGCTATTTTACGAACTTGTAACAGTTCATGTGTAAACATCGGTAAGTTATGAAATTGTAAAGCACGGAAAGGGATACGGCAACACTCCTGACGGTTCAATGATTTTACAGCCAGCAGTATAGGATTTCAAAAGACTTCAAAGTCTTCCTCCACCAAAAATGAGTCGTTTCCCTTTGTACAGAAATGGACTAATTCATCAAAAATTGAATTCTTGGAAAAGGGCTATAACTGACAATAAAAGCTTAAATCACGTAAATTGAACTTGACCTTCATTTAGTCACAGGAAACAACATATCTTAATTTGAAAAAATTCTTCAAAGTTTTTTCATGTAAATGAACACACTGTTTGGCAGTCGCTAAAAAAACTAAAAGATCCAAAATGTCATTTATCATTAATACAATGTCCGAGTCATTTCCCTTTTTACAGAGATGAATTATAACTGAACGAGAATAGCTAAAATCCTGAAAAATGGAACTTAACCTTCATTTAGTCACAGGAAAAAAACATATCTAAATTTGAAAAAAAAAATCTTCAAAGTGTTTTCAAGTAAAAGAACGGACACTATTTGGCAGTCGCTAAAACAAGCTTAAAGATCCAAAATGTCATTTATCATTAATACAATGTCTTTGAACGGACACTGTTTGGCAGCTGCCAATCCACCCCATACCTCCCCATTTTCTCCCCAGCCCACTCACCTATTCGTCCGCCATATATCCCCAAATCAATAACCCATTTTTACTTCGAATATCTGTTTAAAAACATGTTACTTAAGAGCTGACATATTACTATTGGTATTTGTAAAACAGACCAAAACAATAAAAACTAAACATTGACCAATGAACCATGAAAATAGTCAAGGTCAGATGAAACCAGCCAGACTGACATGTACCCATTACAATCATTCCATACACCACATAAAGTTTAAACCTACTGCTCATAGTTTTTGAGAAACGGACTTAATCAGGTAACTGTAACCTTGATCACTGATCCATGAAATGAGGTGGTGGTCATGTGAACCCTGTCTGCCTGACACAGACCTTGTATAAAACCCATATACCAAATATAGTTTTCGTATTACTCATAAGTAAGAAATTCACATGACAAAAAAACTATTATTTCTTTTCAAGCAGTCGCTGAACCATGACAATGGAGATATGACAGATAAAAATTTGGTAACATAAGGTATCTGCATAAAAGATGTGAACACCCAGGTCTTTTGCCTTCTGAAATATAAGGATTTATACAAATAGCTTACATTGACGCCACCGGATAGTAATACCCAAGTCTCGCAGGTGAGACAAAAACTTATTATATCAGCACTTATCTTTATCTACCATGCCATGTTCATCTCATGATGAGGGATTAAACTGGGTTTGAGAGACTTTTTTAATGTGTACACTTGGCCAATTGTCCGGAAACGGTCATATTTGCCAGTCATGACCTGAAAGCTATTTGTCCTTAACAGCAGATTGGGATTTAGGAGAATTTAGAAATAATTTCGGTAATTTCATTGAGATCAGGTTTCTAAATCGACATTTAACACTTGTTTTTGTTTTGAAATCCTTTTCCAGTAATATAACTGCCACTCCAGTATAGTAAGCCTAATTCTGAGAGCCCTCCTAATAACCGCATTAATGTCTCTGGCAAATATTGGTTAAGATCACAGTGATCACAAGTTCAGAACTCAGAAAAAAATCTAAATTTCTGACAACTATCTTCATTATTTATTTACTTTTCAGCAAAGACTATAGACAATTTTTCACGAGTCAAACTTATTTACTACGGAATACACTTGTGTGAAATCCTCTTCAACAAATAATCACTTAATTGTAAAATGTAAAATGATGTTATGCTAAACAAGAAATGATTATAACAGGATGCTGCGACGAAGTCTCCCAAACGAAGTTCCCATAATTCGTCATTCCCAGGATCGCCTGACATTGGGCAAAGTCCAGTGAAAAATTGGTTTGGTCCAGTAAAGTTATATGCATTAGTGATACCTGGGGACTGACGCTGTATAATATTCAAATCATATTGGCATGACAAACCAGAATATATATGGTTTAGGGGTGGGGATCTCGACCATTACAAGATATTAAATCATTGGGGGTGGGGGACCCCTGGGGACTGACTCTATATATCTTTTGAATCTTTGTGACATGACGAACAGGAATATATATGGTTTAGGGGTGGGGATCTCACCCATTTACAAGATATTAGAACTTTCTCAAATGGCAGGGGGTGGGGGTGGTCCCTGGGGACTGACCCTGTAAATCAGCCATGTTGAAAATTTTAAACAGTGAATGGACATATATGCATGGCCTTACATCTTTCTGTAAATTTTCAGAACATTTGGAGCATTTTGAAATTTTTACACATTTTTGCTGTTTCCATGGCAACGGCGGCCATTTTGGAAATTCCAAAGTCAAAAATCTCATCTAGACATGCCAGTTAAGAATCTATTAAGTTTCATTAAGTGTGGAGCATTTTGAAATTTTTGGAAATTTTTGACATTTTTGCTGGTTTCCGTGGTAACAGAGACCATTCCCAAAATTGAATGACAGGTGCTACATTGGTACATGGGAGGGAACATACTATTAAAATTTCAATGGATTTGACATACCATTTTAAGAAAGTAAATGCTACTTTAAGGTTTTTGGAGCATTTTGACCTTTTTTTTATTGTTTCCATGGTAACAGCAGCCATTTTGGAAATTCCAAAGCCAAATGCCACATCTTCACATGACAGTCAACATTACTGTGAAGTTTCATCAAGTTTGGAGCATCTTGAAATTTTTGAAATTTTTGCTGTTGTTTCCATGGCAACATAGTAGTTCCAATGATTGTCAAAATCAGTCAAAACCTGTATATAGTGGACAACTACATTGTATTAAAATTTAATGATTTCGAGTCTAAGCATTCTCAAATTATTCACCAAACTCAAAAAATTGTTCACCTTTTTTCGGTTTCCATGGTGATGGCAGCCATTTTTTAGTTCCAAAGTTGCACTGCAACTCTGAAGTTATGGTTCCTTGTTATAGTGAACTATCATTTAGATTGGTTCCTTTGGCTCTGAGAAAACTCCCAGACAAAATTAGGTGGAAGAAAAATAATAATAATAATAATAATAATAATAATAGGGAAAAAGAAACAGAGGAAAAGCAATATGTCACCCGACATTGTCGATCGGGTGACATAATAAAGAAACGGAGGAAAAGCAATATGACACCCGACATTGTCGTACGGGTGACATAATAAGAACTGAGCAAAAACAATAAGTCTTCCCATGGGAGACTTAATAAAACAAGTGCGAATATTATCTGTTAAATTCAAACACTTTTTTCAAGAAAATACAATTATCATTTCAGTGATTTCAGTGAAATGAACCAGGAATCACTTGTACTTTAGTGTGAACATTAAAGTTCCATTTTCTGGCAATTTCTGAGGAATTTGCTGTTTACTGTTTAAAATTAATCCTATTTTAAACTGTTGCATTCCGAAAGTTGTTCTTGAACTTTTAAGATAAACGGAAAACAAAGTTCATGAACTAAATGTGCTGAAAAGAATCAACTCAAGTTTGTTGATGCCATGAATCCAGTGTGAAAAATTTCGTCAGTTTTGAAAAAAGGGCCCCAACTTTTAAATCATCTCAAAATGACCGAAATTGTGTGAAAAATTTCACAATCCTTGCATTTGACATAAAATAAAACCACATACTTTAGTCTGAATACTCCTTTAATCCACAAATAATCCTCCTTTCCAAAGGTAAAGTCTCTTAACATGAATTTTTCCTTGTAATTCTCCAAACTAATCTCCATGTATTGTGTACATCCATCCAAATTAAGTGAGAAATCAAATGTATGGTTACCCAAAAATGGTACAGAGACACAGCATCTTACATCTGTACATACATCAGATATATAACAGGCACTACCACTAGATAACATGGGCAAGTTGTTAAAGGTCGAACCACAAGCTGAAACAAAAATAGCCATTAGTTATGATTTATTCATATATAAAAGGCACACCAAAATAGAAAAACAATTCAAGATTTTCATGTACCAGTGGCCAAAAAATCTCAATGAAAATGAGATGTGCCAATGCAAATACATATTGACCTACCACTAGTGGTTCCCCCATAAACAGACCTATCACAAACCTAAACATTGTTAGGGTGAAAGTTGGCACCTGTTAAAACATTTAAATGGCTGTCTTTACTCATGACCGATGAATTGCTTGACACTTATAAAAATCACACCACTTGCAAGCGCATTGCTGATCTCGCAGTAGAAACGTATCTTAAAATCCGCTAACGGGATAGGGCCAGATAAAAATCTGTTTTAGTAGTCCAAATTGAGGGCTGAATACAGGTTTTCCTTTTTCTAATGTATCATGGGAAGAAACTGTGTAGTGACTTGATATACCTGGTTTACAAAATATTAAATTTTTAAACAAACCCATATCAGAGCTTGTCTTATAAAATAAATTTTTAAGAATAATTAGAACAAGAAATGATTCTAACAGGATGCTGTTCCGAAGTCTCCCAAACGAAGCTCCCATAATTCGTAATTCCCAGGGTCGCCTGACATTGGGCAAAGTCCAGTGAAAATTGGTTTGGTCCAGTAAAGTTATATGCATTAGTGATGCCTGGGGACTAACCCTGTATATCATTCAAATCATCTTGGCATGAAAAACCAGAATATATATGGTTTAGGTGTGGGGATCTCGACCATTCACAAGATACTAGAACATTGGGGTGGGGGAACCCCTGGAGCCTAACCCTATACTTCATTCAAATGTTCGAGACATGACAAACAGGAATATATATGGTCTAGGGATGGGGATCTCGACTATTTACAAGATATTAGATCATTGGGGGTGGGGGAACCCCTGGGGACTGACCATATACGTCATTCAAATGTTCAAGACATGACGAACAGGAATATACTAGTATATGGTTTAGGAGTGTGGATCTCGACCATTTACAAGATATTAGAACTTTTTCAAATGGAAGGGGGTCGAGATGACCCCTGGGTACTAACCCTGTATATCATTCAAACCATCTTTGCATGACAAACCAGAATATATATGGTTTAGGGGTGGGTATCTTGACCACTTACAAGATATTAGAACTTTCTTAAATGGCAGGGGGTGGGGGTGACCCCTGGGGACTAACTCTGTATAACATTCAAACCATCTTTGAATGACAAACCAGAATATATATGGTTTAGGGGTGGGGATCTTGACCACTTACAAGATATAAGAACTTTCTTAAATGGCAGGGGGTGGAGGTGACTCCTGGGGACTAACCCTGTATTTCATTTGATTTGCTTTATAATGACAAACCAGAATATATATGGTTTAGGGGTGGGGATCTCGACCATTAACAAGATATTAGAACTTTCTCAAATGGCAGGGGGTCGGGATGACCCCTGGGGACTAACCCTGTATATAATTCAAACCATCTTAGCATGACTTACCAGAATATTTATGATTTAGGGGTGGGGATCTTGACCACTTACAAGATATAAGAACTTTCTTAAATGGCAGGGGGTGGAGGTGACCCCTGGGGACTAACCCTGTAGATCATTCAAACCATTTTAGCATGACAAACCAGAATATATATGGTTTAGGGGTAGGTCTCTTGACCACTTACAAGGTATTAGAACTTTCTTAAATGGCAGGGGGTGGGGGTGACCCCTGGGGACTAACCCTGTATTTCATTTAATGTGCCTTATCATTTAGAACATTTTCAATTAAAAAGATTGTGTCTATCACAAATGGTTTTCAATTTAAAATCATTTGAAAATTCAAAAAAATAAAATCCCATAGGGTTCTATAGTAAAACCCTCCTTTCTTTTCGCCCCTCAAAGTACCCGTTTATAAACCCTATTGCACAAACAAAACCCTGATTGCACCACTAGACATGTTAGTCTAACATTTTGTGAAACCCTAAGTTAATCTGACAAGCGGTTTCGGAGAACGGGTGTGGAAAAATTTAAAAGTGGCGGAAGAGGAAGAGGAAGAAGAATAATAATAACTAGATTTGCAATTGCAAGCAATACACTACAAACCAGTAAAAGTCTGAAATGGCCTATATTTGTACTCGACTGTACTGATTTTTACTCGACCAGTCTGAATTGGTCTGAAATTTACTTGATAATACTCGACTGTAGTCTGAACCATACTTAACAGTCTGAACTTGTACTCAACCAGTACTTAACCATTTTATACGCGTCTGAATCATGCTCGACCTAGTCTGAACCATGCTCGACCTAGTCTGAACCATACTCGACCTAGTCTGAACCATACTCGACCTAGTCTGAACCATACTCGACCAAGTCTTAACCAACCTAGACCTATTTTTTGTATCTATCTATTGTATTTCATCATTTTAGGAACTGTTTTTAACAACAGCTATTTCCCCTGGCTAGAAATTTGAACAACAATTTGAAATTAAAAATGTATTCAATATAGCATTGAAACCAAAATTTCACAATAAACATAATATAACTTCATCACCATATTCATCAACACTTATATACATACATATATATCACCTTTAAAATAAATATAAAACAAGCTGATCAAATAATCTCAAAACTGAATTGTGACTAATATTTTCAATGACATTCAAAATTTTTTGAATGTTTCAGATATATTTTATGGTTACTGGACAATTTTCACCATTAACTTAAGCCTCGTATAGATTTATGGTGTCAGTTGAGTTTAGTTAATAATGCAGTGAACATTTTTTTTATTAAAATATATATAAAATAGCATATAAAGCAACTTGATAAATTTAAAAAATGACACTTTTGTTTTGTTAAACCAAGAATTTAATATAATCATGATAATAGAACTTCCATAGTAATCCTGTGATAAACTTTTAAAAAAGGAAATGTGTTCCAAAGTTACAGTAAAAATTTATTTCAATTAAATTAAAATATTTTTTGTCAAAATTAAAGACATGGCATACAAGAAGCACTTTAATAAGGTTTAATTACCTCAGTACATGTGTGTTGTACAGGTAAAAAGAAAGCCCTATTTTTCCTAAACTCGTGTATTACTTATCTAGTGAATTCAAAAGGCCTTGCGATTTATGTTTCACAGGATGTTGCAATTTTGAATGAATGTTATTTAGAATTTAATACTCTCTGTCCAGGTGTGATCTTTTTCATGAGTTTGCCCCAAGCAGGAGGTATTACTTTATACTTTACCACTAATCAGAAGAACAATTTTATTAATTTCTTTAATTTTTATCCCTTTTTGATATATATTTGATATATATAATATATCCCAAATTATAATAATAGATATATTTCTAAAATAAGGTTAAATAATTTCAGTGATTTTGTTGGCTGTTGTTACCTCATTAAAAAGATAATTATATAACTATTGTACTTTTTTTGTACGTAACCATGAAACCTATGTAGTTTTTATTTAGGAATTTAGGAAAATTAATTTAAAAAAAAAAACACATGCCAAACAAGAAGCACCTTAATAAGGTTTAATTACCCTCAGTATAGGTGTGGTTTTTAGGTAAAAGAAAATATTTTTTTAACAAAACTCTAAAATTTTAAAATTAATATAATAAAATTATTATATAAGATAATTTGATTTCACTATCTCTATTCGATAAATCTGAGAATCATGTAAGAATGTAAAAATCTGTTTTTATAATATATCTTTATTTTATTGTGGCTGTTGTCATGTCAGTTAAAAAGAAATTTATTTTAACAGTTAAAATTTAGAAAAAGTAGAGGTTATTTGGTCAAGTATGGTTCAGACTGGTCGAGTATTGTTCAGACCTTTGGTCGAGTATGGTTTAGACTGAAAAAAATAGGTAGAGTACAGGTCGAGAATGGGTTAAGACTGTTTCAGACTGGTCGAGTAATAGTTCAGACTATTTTCAATGGCAAAGATAAGGGTCAAGTACAAATCAGTACAGTCGAGTATGGTTAAGACTGGGGTCGAGTAATGTCGAGTACAATTCAGACCAATTCAGACTGGTCGAGTAAAAATCAGTACAGTCGAGTACAGATATAGGCCATTTCAGACTTTTACTGGTTTGTAGTGATAGCGGATGGCACCCTTCCACAGTTGCCAGGTGAGCAGCAGCCATTTAGAAAATTCCAAAGTCAAAATGTGCATTTACACATGCAAATTATCATTTTTGTAAAGTTTCATTAAGTTTGGAGCATTTTGAAATGTTTGACATTTTTGCTGTTTCCATGGTTACGGCGGCCATTTTGAAAATTCCAACTGCAAAATGCAACTCTGCCTATGCCAGTTACCATTTCTGTAAAGTTTCATCCAGTTTGCAGCATTTTGATTTTTTTTGAAATTTTGGACATTTTTGCTGTTTCCATGGTTACAGTGGATAATTCCAAAATTCTAAAAGCAGACATCTCATTGCCACATGTCATGTTATATATCAATACAGTTTCACTGACTTTGGTGAAATACTCTATAAGAAAATGCTGATTTTATGCATTTTCCCATAGGGTCAATGTAAAACTTGCTCCATGTTTCCATGACAACGGCGGCCATTTTGGACTATCCAAATATTGTCTTGACATCTTAGCATACTGGGTAACATTTTCATAAAGTTTCACCCAGTTGTGTCTTATAATGAAAGAGTTAGAATTTTTGATATTTTAGCTGTTTCCATGGTAACGGCAGCCATTTTAAAAATTCCAAAGTCAAACTGCAAATCAGCATATGCCAGTTAACATTCCTGTGGAGTTTCTTCCAATTTGGAACACTTTGATTTTTTTCGCATTTTTGCTGTTTCCATGGAAACAGCGGCCATTTTTTACCATTCCATAGCAAGGTGCACAACTTTACATGGGGGTCCTCATTATAATAGAGTTCAATCAACATTGGTCCATTGGATTCCAAGAACTCGCGCGGACAAAATGTGTGGAAGAAAAATAAGAAAAAAAAGAAACGTAGAATAACAGTATGTCACCCCAACTCCGTTGAGGGTGCCATAATAATAAGAACTGAGCAAAAACAATAAGTCTTCCCAAACTTCGTTTGGGAGACTTAAATATCAGCATCAAAACTATTTGTTATGGTCTTTTACAGTAAAGCTCTTACTGCTGATTTTAACTGACATAAATTATGGAAATTATATTCAGAAAGAGGAATACACAGCAGCTTCTGAAATTAAAAAAAGAACAGAGTTTCCATGTCCCCTGCGTTGCACATATTTTATCTATCCAAGGTACAAGGGCAATAATTAAAAAAAAAACTTTTTTTGTTCTTTAAAACTTGTTTTTAGTATCTTAGATAAATAAAATCTCCAGAACAAATGCAATGTGACTTCCTTTCTAATTAACATTTCCAAGGGCCATAACTGTTAAAAATATTTTATCAACACTTATTTTCAAAAGTGTCAAAGACATTGCTGATATAAACCTTTGATATAAGTTTCATTACATTCTGGCAATAATTGTATACATGAGAGCACTGACAATGCAATTTTCCATATCATAAATATTTCCAAGGGGCATACTCTTTTAAAAATAATTGATCAGCACTGATTTTCGAACTTGTCCAAGACATTGATGTCATAAACCTATGATATAAGTTTGATAACCACATGTGGAGCAGGATCTGTTTACCCTCCCGGAGCACCTGAGATCACCCCCAGTTTTTGGTGGGGTTCGTGATGCTTAGTCTTTAGTTTTCTATGTTGTGTCCTATGTACTATTATTTGTCTGTTTGTCTTTAATTTTTTAGCCATGGCGTTGTCAGTTTATTTCCGATCTATGAGTTTGACTGTCCCTCTGGTATCTTTCGCCCCTCTTTTTGATAAAAATCTGACAAGAACTGTACAAGTGAGAGCGCTACCAAGACAGGACGGACTGACAGCCATTTTTTTTAAAATAATTAATCTGCACTGATTTTTTAACTCATCAAAGACAATGTCGATATAAACCTATGATTTAAGTTTCATAAAATTCTGGCAAGAATTGAACACATGAGAGCGCAAAAAATACAATTTTACATAAAATGTATGTATTCAAGGGACATAACTCTTTTAAAAATATTAATCAGCACCGATTTACGATCTCATCAAAGACATTGCTGATATAAACCCATGATATAAATTTCATAAAAATCTGGCAAGGGGCATTACTCTTTTAAATATGATTGATCGGCACTGATTTTCGAACTTGTCCAAGACTTTGATGTTATAAATAAACCCATGATATTAGTTTTATCAAAATTTAGCAAGAACTTGAGAAGTGAGAGCACTAACAAGACAGGACGGACTGACTGACAGACGCCTGTTGCGCAGGGGACAAAACGAGAGAATGACTATTATTACCTTACATCGCCTTCCTTCTTTTTGTTCAGCTGTTTTTTTCTTTCCTCTTATTCGAGTCATGGTTATTGATAATATCTATCACATAAATTATGCAGAATATAAAAATTTATTATTGACTCCTTTTGATGTTTTTTAACAAACAAAATATTATTGTAAATAAAGAGTCAACCAAACAAGACTCAGAGTGTAGGAATAAATCGCCTTCGAAATTCATTAAACTTCTAAATCACATGCATTCACAATTTATCAGGGTAACTTTTTTCGTATCACTATCTCCTCTCGTCAAAAGTGTTCTCAACCATAATCTATTATCAAATCATATAATTATACTGTAAAACTTACTGTTATTCCATCCATCAGCTATAAAAAGAGACAATGCAAAGTCACATGTGTTCATCAGATACCAAGCAACGTCCAGTTCATCGTAGAGTCGTATGAGGTCTGTTTCAATCATGGCATCCTTGTCTATGTTGTTAGAAGTGGCCCAAGTAGACAGAGAGAAGGCTAAAATAAAATGGTATGTATCTTTATCTGGTGGCCAAAGTTGTGGCAAAGAGAAGCCTTAAAGAAAAATGACGTTTATCTATAATTAGCAGCCCAAGTAGTCAGGGAGAAGCCTAAAATAAATTGGCAATGATCTACAACTAGCAGCTGAAGTGGTCAGAGAGAAGCCCGAGATAAAACAACATTTATCTATAACTAGTAGTCCAAGTTATTTCAGAGGTAAGTCTGAATTAAAACGACATTTATCTACACTGTAGATTCATTTATGTTCGTGTGTAACAATTTTCGGGGATTAAGGAAAACTTGCATGTTCGTGGATATTTAATTTCGTTGTTTTACCGAAGTATGCTTACAAGCCTATAGAAATTTTGTTATCTGTTGAACATTTAATTTCGTGGATCACCAAAACCCACTAAATCCAAGAAAATTGATATTCCAAAGAATAATAATGAATCCATAGTAACTAGAAGTCCAATAAATAAAATGAAATAAAAAAAATCCAAGTTGTCAGGAAGTAACCAAAAAAAAAACCGACAATTATCTATAATATAACAACTCTCTATCCAAGTCAGAATTTGTAAAAGTAAACCATTATAGGTCAAAGTACGGTCTTCAATATGGAGCATTGGCTCACAGGGAACATCTAAACCTTTAAAAAGCTTTTCATATTTGAAAGTTATATGAGGTTATAAGAGTTGCAAGCTATGAAACATAAACTATAGGTCATTCAAATCATACAAATACCTAAAAAAATCTACAAATCAAAAAAACAATCTTTATAACATAAAAAGATTTTGATTAGGGAATTTACATATATAATGTGTACATATTGTAATTCAAAATTTTAACTTATACAAATTCTGTGACAATTTCTTATGAACTAAATACTAAAATAATTATCATATCATTATACTATTGTTGAATTACTTTTAAAGAAATAAATACCTGCATTCTTGTATAACATCTTTGAAGCACACGTCTGCTTTTTAAACCTTGCATAGTCCAGTACAGACTGGGTCCAAGCACATCTACTATACATCTCCCAACAGGATGATATCGCCAAGGATACCATATATACTCCTTCACTCCATTGATCATATATATTGTACCTTAAAAAGGGTAACTTCATTTTATGAATATAATTCTTATTTGCACTTTTTTCAGTCTAATGTGAAAACTAGTTCTGATTTTCAAAGGAAATGGTCAATATATTATTATTTTCAATTTAACTTACGAACTTTTTTAGTATATAGATATATATTTGGCACTCATATCATAGGCTCCTTATTTATCTATTTTGTTTTTATTGAAACATGAGAAACAAATCATTTTTGTATAGATCTATAAAAAACATTTATTCTGAAACTATTTATTTATAATGAGAATTTACAAATCAAATTCTGCTATCTTTCAATACTAATTGCTCTTTTACTTACAATTTAATATTACATGACAGAGTATCAATAAAAAAAGATTTAAGGCTTACTTGGGTACGGTATATTGACTAGAAAACAACCTAACATTATTAGTAAATTATCTATATCTCATCTTCCCTAGCCAAGGGTCAATATCTAGTTCCTTTCTCTCCATCCTTTGCAGATTACGCCATTATTTGTGATTACAATGCTGTGCAGTCTACCAGTTGATAAAAGTCACGCCCATGACAGTTACATCAATCTTGACCAATGACAGCACTTCGACTTTCTTCAGTGTGGCGGTACTAAAATGATTGTATCTCCTGTTTACAAATTGTGTGAAGCAGAAACAGAAAATATACTTTGACATTCCAACATTTGCGCTAGAAATATCGTCCTATGTTTTTGGGGTAAAGACTTGTTGAACGATCAGCATGTGGTAATTGTTTATTTACACAATGACCTGTGAATATCATTACCTCATGGATCCAAAATTATATCTTAATCGGACAAGGGTGGAGAGGAGGAGACTGGATCGTAACCCTTGGCTAGCAAAAATGCTTTTATCTCACCTTATGCGAATTGTCTTTACTAAACTGAATTCATGCCATTTATCTGAAAGAAAAAATAAGTATGCATGTATGAAATCCTGTATGCTTTGAAAATTATAGACAATGCTGGAATGCAATTATTTCTGAAAAATTGATAATTTTAATCTATATCATCCTAAAAGAGTGGTTGGACTTGAAAATTTGATTGTTTTTAATTAAATCTTGAAAATTATAACCAAAATGTTCCTCCATTTTTGCAATTAATTCATTAATAAAGGCAACAGCAGTATACCGCATCTTAAAAAGACAAAAAAAAACAAAACTAAAAAGCGTTTTTTTTATATAAAACAAAATACAAAAATTCCAAATGTGTATCTTTTTTCAATTCAAACAAATCTTACCAAATTCAAAGTCATGTAGTGGAATATGGAATTTCAGTTTTTCTATTCCAATGTATATCTTTCTCTCACAGTGGTTTATCTCAAAGAACACTTCAAAAGTCTTGTTGATAAAAACTTCATCTAAACAACAGCTTATACCAGCACAGTCTGACTTCAGCAGACATGATATTGGATTGGTAGAAATGGCTACGACTTCTGTGTCAGAACAATCTGAAATAAAATCCTTTGTATATATGCCTATAAATTGAGGTGAGGTTTTTGGCTCCATGTGAAAGATCTCACTGTAACTTTGAGATGAAGAACAGCAATAAAAGCGCTGTTCCTTTGCTTTTTTTTTTTCATGCATGTACTGATTTTGTGTCATGGATAGATACCCCGTATCCTTTGTTTTTCTATTATATATATAAAAAGCTCCAGTCCAAAGCAACAAATCTACAAATTTTAAGTTGTCAATTTCCAATTCTTTTACCTGCACTCTGCTTTAAAAAAATATGAAAAAAACAAACATACTGCAAACAGAATGCACCTGTTATAGTGCTGAGCATACCCAAGCTCATAATTCTAAGTGTTAAAAAACAGAAAGATGGTTTCTAACTACCAAAGAGAAAAGCACTTACGTTATTACTCTTCAAAGCCAAATTACTGACTGTTAATGTGTGTCCTAAATTATTCAAATTCATTCAACATGTTGAAAAATCAAAGTATCAGCTAATTGGAAGTAGGTGTTTTAGAGAATTGAGAGATGCTAACACATTACAACTCATCACTGTCAAACTGAAGGCAAAACATGAAGCCATTTTGTTCAGATATATCTGGGGAAAATGTAATGGATTATTTTTTGGACAAACGTATGAACTAGGTGAATCTAATATAGCCAAACGTAAAGTTGTGTAAAGGCTAAGCGAAAAAAAATGTTATAAAAGTGGCTTTAAACTTCTACCAACAAAATATAGTTTAAAATATCAACATACAGTTGGACTGCAAGAAATTAATCAATACCTTGTAAAGTTGAAAAATAATATGTTCATGAATAAAGTTGAGACAAATCAGCTTACATTTTTTCCAGCCATTGGTTGGTGAATCATACGGTGACACGGATCGGCTACACTGTGATGACTGGAAGTATCTGGTTAAGTCCAAGTTCTGAAGAAGTTCTGAGATGTAATAAGCTGGGTACACTTGTGTTGTGTCAATAGTTCTCTCCCTACTCCACTGATCCAGTGAAAAATCTGAAATCAAATTTAGATTTCAACAATTAAACAACATAAGTTAAAATCATTTTCCGTAAAATTTGAATTCTAAGTCAAATGATTTTCTTACAAGTAACATTTTAAGAAAAAATGTTTCAGTCCATCAAAAAACAAGCACCTGCTAAATTGTTCTTTATATTTATTTTCTTCACTATACAGCTGGAAAATATTTGCAACAAAACATTTGTTCCACCGAAACTTATTTCTTAAAAATATATTCTACAGAACTTGATACCCTGGATGATAGTCTCTATAAACTATCTTTACCTTTCATCCTATATGTATCATCCCATGTACATTTCTTTTTAGTGAACTTGACAACCTGGATAGTTTAAACATATTGTATTGTTCAAAATAACAAATGGATCAGACGCAATTCATATTATATTTACCTTTCACCCTATATGTATCATTCCATTTACAGTACTTGCAACCTTAGGCATTACTGTTTGACATGAACTTGACTGATCAGTGAATGATCAGTGACGGATGTTTGACTGATCGATGACTGATCGGTGATCAATGACCCACACAATCCGTCAGAAACGTCAAATAAGCTATGTTAGAGTTACCTTGACAAGGGTCAGCAATCATTCAGTAAATTATTTATATGCACAGATTGAACTGATACGTATATAATTAAAATTCTTATGTAAAACGAACAATGTATTTACATTTGATAAATGCAGACCTCTATGAAGACACCCTTACTTGTTAATTTGTAATCAATTTTTGGTCGTAATAAAATTACATAAGTGCAGAATAATAAAAAATAAATTACCAATATTTCTTCAATTATAAAAAATAATACAATAAATAAAGGCAATAATAGTATGCTGCTGTTCGAAATTCATAAATCGATTGAGAAAAAAACAAATCCGGGTTACAAACTAAAACTGAGGGAAACACATCAAATATAAGAGGAGAACTACGACACAACAGAAACGAACTATAATATAAGTTAAAAGCTAGCCAAACCTCCCGCTTTTATGGCAATGTTAAATATAACATTAAAATGACAACATTACATGACAGGACTACAATACAAATAAATGGAAGAACATATAGGACAGAGAAACATACGAATAATAGCTAACAAAAGGTACCAGGTTTAAAATTTAATACGCAAGACGCGTGTTTCTTCCACATAAGACTAACCAGTGACGCTCAGATAAAAAAAGTACGAAAGCCAAAACAAGTACAAAGTTGAAGAGCATTGTTACTTGTAATTGGGTATTTTAAAGGCCTCAAAACAAGTTTTTTTTATAGAATTTTAATACAATAAGGATTAAAATACTTAAACTTTTGTTTGTGTTATATACAAATGCAATAATAATAGAATATTAACCACCAATTGCAATCAGTAGTTAGAAAGGCCTCTAGTTAAGTAATTTTTTTTATAAAATGTGAATAGTTGAAGGATAAATCTGCATAAACTTTTGTTTGTTGAATAAAATGCAATCATTTCTTTATCTTAATGGAAATAATTGACCGCCATTGGATTTTTGTACTTTTTATTGTTCTGGATTGGGTTTTTTAAATATAATTAAAAGAATATCAGAGAAAATATACTTAAATGTTGTTCGCATGTTTGAAATTATCAATTTTTCCTCTTTTGAAAAAAAATTATGCAATGTAATTTCTAACTAGTTATTTCAAAGGCCTCAAGATAAGATTTTTTATAAGAATTTTAATAATGTAAGGAGAATAACACTTAAACTTTTGATTGTATTGAACATGTTGAATACAAATGCAAATTATTTTTTTTTTAGAAATTTATGAATCGCCATTTGATTTTAGTACTTCTGGTAGATTTCTGTCGGTGTTGCTTAAAAATGAAAATATTTCTTCTTTTATATCAAAAATAATGCAATGTCAATTGCAATCAGTCATTATAAATGTCTTTTGATAAGTAGTTTTGTATAAAATGAGAATAATTGAAGGATAAATATGCATAAACTTTTGTTTTTGTTGAATAAGAATGCAATCATTTCTTTATTTCAAATGAAAATCATTGACCGCCATTGGTTTTTTGTACCTTTTATAGTTCAGGACTTTTTTTTCCCATAAAATTAAAAGAATATCAGAGAAAGTATACTAAAATGTTGTTTGCATTGTTTAAAATGACCAATTATTCCTCTTTCGATAAAAAATTATGTCTTGTAAGTAGTTATTTCAAAGGCCTTAAGAATAAATTTTTTTATAAGGATTTTAATCATGTAAGGAGAATAATACTTAAAACTTTTGTTTATGTTGAATACAAATGCAATAATTTCTTTTTTTATAGAAATTATTAAGCGCCTTTTGATTTTAGTACTTTTTGTACATCACTATTTGTTGTTTTTCATAAAATTTGCTGAATTTCAGGGAACAGATGCTAAATTTTTGTTGTTGTTGCTTTAAAATGCAAATATCATCTTCTTTTATATTAGAAATAATGAAACGTCAATTGCAATCAGTCATTATAAATGCCTTTGGATAAGTTATTTTGTATAACATGAATTAATTTAAGGTTAAATATTCATAAACTTTGGTTTTTGTTGAATAAGAATGCAATAATTTCTTTATCTTACTAGAAATTATTGACCGCCATTGGATTTTTGTACTTTTTATATGTCATGAGTGGTTTTTTTTCAAAAAAACTAAAAGAATATCAGAGAAAATATACTAAAATGTTGTAGGCATTGTTTAAAATTACAATTTTTTTCTTCTTTTGATAAAAATTAATGCAATATTATTTGGTATTTCAAAGGCTGCAAGATAAGACTTTCATAAAAGAATTTTTAGAAGATAAGAAGAATAATACTTAAATTTTTGTTTGTTTTGAATACAAATGCAATAATTTCTTTATATTTATAAAAAATTATGAACCGTCATTTGATTTTAGTACTTTTTGTACATCAGGATTTGTTGTTTTTCATAAAATATGCTGAATTTAAGGAAACAGATACTGATTTTTTTTAGCATATTGCTTAAAAAATGCAAATATTTCTTATTTTATATTAGAAATTATGTAAAGTGAATTGCAATCAGTCATATCAAATGCCTTAAGATAAGTAATTTTGTATAAAATGAAAATAACTGAAGGATAAATATTCAAAAATTTAAGTTTTTGTTGAATAGGAATGGAATCATTTCTATAATTGATCGCCATTGGATTTTTGTACTTTTTATGTGTCAGGATTGAATTTTTTTTCATAAAAATTAAAAGAATATTAGAAACTAGAGGCTCCCAAGAGCCTGTGTCGCTCACCTGATTCTACTTTGGTTTTGGAAATCATGTAAAAATAGATTAAAATCCTATCAGATACCCTAATAATGAGTGAGGCCAAATTTGGTTTAATATTGGTCCTGTAATTTAATAAAAAATCCTGGTGGCCATCATGAACAGTAAATCGGCAACAAAGTAGCAACACTTAATCAACACCTCATAAGAAACATTTATGCCATGTTTTGGTTTCATTCCATTCAGTGCACCTCTAGAAGAAGCATTTGTATGTATTTCCCATAGGGTCTTATGTTAAAGGAAGTCCCCCCATTGGCGGCCATCATGGATGAAGGATCAGCTTCAAAGTAACAAAACTTAGTCAGCACCTCATAAGGAACATTCATGCCATGTTTGGTTTCAATCCATTCAGTATGTGGTTCTCTAAAAGAAGACATTTGTATGTATTGTCCATAGGGTCCTTTGTTAAACATTGTCCCCATCTGGCAGCTATCATGGATAAAGGATCAGCTTCAAAGTAACAACACTTGGTCAGCACCTGTAAAGGAACATGCATGCCATGTTTGGTTTCATTCCATTCAATGGTTCTCTAAAAAAAAAACATTTGTACGTATTTCTCATAGGGTCCTATGTTAAACTAAGTCCTCCGCTGGCGGCCATCTTAGATTATGGATCGACTTCATAGTAACAACACTTGGTCAGCACCTCATAAGGAACATTCATGCCATGTTTGGTTTCATTGCATTCAGTGGTTCTCTGAAAGAAGACATTTGTATGTATTTCCCATAGGGTCCTATGTTAAACTAAGTCCCCCGCTGGCTGCCATCTTGGATGATGGATCAGCTTCAAAGTAACAACACTTGGTCAGCACCTCATAAGGAACATTCTTGCCATGTTTGGTTTCATTCCATTCAGTGGTTCTCTAAAAGAAGACGTTTGTATGTATTTCCCATAGGGACCCATGTTAAACTAAGTCCCCCGCTGGCGGCCATCTTGGATTATGGATCAGCTTCATAGTAACAACACTTGGTCAGCACCTCATAAGGAACATTCATGCCATGTTTGGTTTCATTCCATTCAGTGGTTCTCTAAAAGAAGACGTGTATGTATTTCCCATAGGGTCCCATGTTAAACTAAGTCCCCTGCAGGCGGCCATCTTGGATTATGGATCGGCTTCAAAGTAACAACACTCGGTCAGCACCTCATAAGAAACATTCATGCCATGTTTGGTTTCATTCCATTCAGTGGTTCTCTAAAAGAAGACATTTGTATGTATTTCCCTTAGGGTCCTATGTTAAACTAAGTCCCCTGCTGGCGGCCATCTTGGATTATGGATCAGCTTCATAGTAACAACACTTGGTCAGCACCTCATAAGGAACATTCATGCCATGTTTGGTTTCATTCCATTCAGTGGTTCTCTAAAAGAAGACATTTGTATGTATTTCCCATAGATTCCCATGTTAAACTAAGTCCCCCGCTGGCGGCCATCTTGGGTTATGGATCAGCTTCAAAGTAACAACACTCGGTCAGCACCTCATAAGGAACATTCATACCATGTTTGGTTTCATTCCATTCAGTGGTTCTCTAAAAGAAGACATTTGTATGTATTTCCCATAGGGTCCCATGTTAAACTAAGTCCCCCGCTGGCGGCCATCTTGGATTATGGATCGGCTTCAAAGTAACAACACTCGGTCAGCACCTCATAAGGAACATTCATACCATGTTTGGTTTCATTCCATTCAGTGGTTCTCTAAAAGAAGACATTTGTATGTATTTCCCATAGGGTCCTATGTTAAACTAAGTCCCGTGCTGGCAGCCATCTTGGATTATGGATCGGCTTCAAAGTAACAACACTCAGTTCAGCACCTCATAAGAAACATTCATGCCATGTTTGGTTTCATTCCATTCAGTGGTTCTCTAAAAGAAGACATTTGTATGTATTTCCCATAGGGTCCTATGTTAAACTAAGTCCACCGCTGGCGGCCATCTTGGATGATGGATCGGCTACAAAGTAACAACACTTAGTCAGCACCTCATAAGAAACATTCATGCCATGTTTGGTTTCATTCCATTCAGTGGTTCTCTAAAAGAAGACATTTGTATGTATTTCCCATAGGGTCCTATGTTAAACCAATTCCCCCGCTGGCGGCCATCTTGGATGATGGATCGGCTACAAAGTAACAACACTTGGTCAGCACCTCATAAGGAACATTCATGCCTTGTTTGGTTTCATTCCATTTAGTGGTTCTCTAGAAGAAGTTCGGGCCAGGTGAGCTAAAAATATACTAAAATGTTGTAGGCATTGTTTTAAATTACTAATTTTTCCTCTTTCTATAAAAACATAATGCAATGTTAATATTGTTATTTGCAACTTGTTATTTGAAAGGTCTCATAATAAGATTTTAAAGGCCTTAAGATCAGATTTTTTTTTAAGAATTTTAATTATGTAGGGAGAATAATACGTAAACTTTTGTTTGTGTTGAATACAAATGCAAGAATTTCTTTATTGTTTTAAAAATAATGAACTGCCATTTGATTTCAGTATTTTTTGAAAATCAGGATTTGTGGATTTTCATAAAATATGCTAAATATCAGCAAAAAAGTACTAAATTTCTGTTTGTGTTGCTAAAAATATGCAAATATTTCTTTTATATATCAGAAATAATGCACAATCAAGTGCAATCAGTAATTTTCAATGCCTATAGATGAGTAATTTTGTATAAAATGAGAATAGTTGGAGAAATATGCATAAACTTTTGTTTTTGTTGAATAAGAATGTAATCATTTCTTAATTTTAATGGAAATTATTGACCGCCATTGAACTTTTTATAATACGGCTAGGTTGTTTTTCATAAAATTAAAAGAATATCAGAGAAAATATACTTAAAGTGTTGTTCGCCCTTGTTTAAAGTTACCATTTTGCTTCTTTGATAAATACTTCAGCAATTTTATTTGTAATTAATTATTGTAAAGGCCTCAAGATAAATATTTTTTATAAGAATTTTAAGATAATAAGGATAAAATTACTTTTTGATATTGGAAATAATACACCAAAATTTGCAATAAATGATAATCACAGCATTTTCGGAGAAAAAAAGTCCTAATCACAATAAACACAGTTTTATTGCTCTCCAGGTTTTAAAATATATAACCTAAATAAAAAACAAAATCACCATTCTTTTAAAATAATATTTAAATCTAGTTTCATTTTCATATGCTGAATGATAATTAATAGAATGTTGATCTTTTGTACTTGAACGTTTAGTATTTTCCTTGGCGCCATTTTAATTGAATGAAACGAAACTAAGATTCTGTAATTTGTATTTCTTCATCATGTGACGTAGCAGAGTTCAATCCTTCAGAAAGGTCAATAGGTCCGATCTTTCCGATCAGTCAAATAATTTACTATAAATTAACTGACGGACTTGTGAAGTGAATTTGACATGAACTTGACTGATTGGTGACTGATTGATCTCTAAAATAGTAACTCCTAAGGTTGCAAGTACTGTACATTTCTTTTTAGGGAACTTGACACCCTGGATTATAGTCTCAATAAATTATCTTTACCCTTCACCCTATATGTATCATCCCATGTACATTTCTTTTTAGGGAACTTGACACCCTTAATGATAGTTTCTGTAAGTTCACAACTTCCTGTCTCCAAACAGAAGGAAAAGCTGATATCCACCAAGTAAGCTCTCTCTCCAATATAGTCCTCTATTTTGTATCTGAAAATAAATTACTAATTCTTTACAGCTGAATAACTGTTCTTTTTCAACATTTTCTTAATATTTTGTAACTTTTCTTAGTCAATGCATTAAAAATATTTATCCCATCTGGGAACAGTATATCTAACGGGAAATGAATCTGATACGCTTTTCAGTATAAAATTGATAAAATCTCGGACTCCCCGAGACTTCCCAAGATTTACGGATTTTGGTAGCGTCTGACTGAAAAACTATCAGAACTGCTCAACAAATAAACCACATAACTCTAATTGTAAATAAATACAAGTTTTATCATTTAGTAGATATATTTTGTCATATAAAATTACCAAAATAAGTTTGATTTATTTGATGTGAAGTGTTTTATAATAGTTTGGGAATTTGTAAATCATCGCGGCAATGGCCGCCATTTTTTTATTACCTGGTTTGCATTCTGCACAATTCTGTGATGAAATGCTTGCGATTTTAACAAATTTGAAGTGACAGAATACATGTTTGATACACTAGCATCACTATAAAACTAGTTTGAATGACATTTTATTGATAATATCAGAAATTATTAGGATAATAGCGAGTCCGTTTTTAACACATGTCCGTTTCTGTATCGTATCTTTATTAACTATGGCACGACGATAAAATCGACTACAATCAGGTAGTGTCAAGTCCCGTCAATATATATGTTCCTGATCCCATCGACCTCTATATTTCTAAATAGGTAAACATTCGTTTTTCTCCATATTGCATGAGTTTGATAAGTTCATTACTTACATTAAACAGAAATTAGGACACTTCTACAGACATGTCTGTTATGGATAATATGTATCACATTTTATCTTACCTCCTATACATTTCTATGAATATGATTGGCTAAAAGCAACCGTGTGGAGGCCCTGTATATTCCATATTAGGTTAGTAGGCCGGGCTTTTTTCAATACATGGTTAGTAATGGTGTTATGTTTTCTTGTACGTCCCTTTATAAAAACAAAACGGTACTGAAAAAAAAATCTTAAAGGTTTCAACAGACGAAGTGATGATGCAAGATCGAAATAAATTCAAAAAACACATTAAAAGCTTACAAGTCGTTATTGTTGGCATTTGTTTTTGTATGACTAAAGGAAGTAGTTTCTTAATGCTAACGGTATTGAAAACTTGCTCACTTTGATAGGTCACTTGTCTAAATAACACATGTTAAGATAGTGGGTAAGATAAATGTGTTACATAGTGTGTTAATGACCTAATACGGTATATGTGGGGTCAGTAAATTCAATATGGAGATTCAAGCTTCGCTCCTACCCCATATGGAATTAACTGACCCCATATATACTGTATTAGGTCACTAACACACTATTTTACCTTAAAGTACACCCTACTCTAGATATTGTCTTTTTACAATAGTTTTCAAAATGGTAAAGATATATTATTTCAGGATAAAGAATTCCTACAAGTCTGAATAAAAACTAACTCCATTCTACACACTCCTCTGAGATTGAAATGTTCCACGGTACCAAAAGCGTAGTCCAGTAATTTATATTGTCTGTACATTGATTCCAATCCAACAGTAATGTCCTGGTAACAATGGTTTATGTTGATACGAAAGTTCATTGTCTTGTATGTTAGTGGAATGGTGATACAACAGTTCAAACCAGTACATGTATCCGTGGTAACAGTACAGACAACTCCTGGTTGTAGAACAGGGACAGAAACAGGCATTCCACAATCTGAAAATAGTTGAAAATATTTTTAGGGGAAATGCCAAAAAAAAATCTCATATACAAGTGTTTTATATGTACATTTAGATATCATTTTACAGAAATGGATTAATTCATCAAAATTGAATTCTTGGGAAAGGGCTAAAGCTGAACAACAAGAATAGCTAAAATTGATAAAATTGAACTTGACCTTCATTTAGTCACAGGAAATATCTAAATTTGAACAAATTTCTTCAAAGCGTTTTCATGTAAATGAACAGACACTGTTTGGGAGCCGTCGCCAACCCACCCTCCTGCCCGATTGCCCGCTGTACATCCCCAAATCAATTACAGATTTTTACTTCGAAAATCCTGTTAAAAACTAATGAAAATGAAATGTACAAAGCTTGAAATATCTTCATACCAAATATCATTGACTTACTGTTAGCGGTTCATCAATTTTTATACATTGTTGACACTGCAGGTTGAAATAGCATGCCAAAGTCTCACTTTTTTCACTTAGTTAAAACGAGGCAAAAAAGTACTGCAGAATCAATAAACATTACAAAAAACATATTACTTCATAAAATGTATTAAAATTGTATATGATCAATCAGGATCCACATTATTTCAACATAAATACACATATATTTGAACAATGTCTCCTTTGGTGCAATCAAACCTGAGTAAAGCGGAAAGTGAATAAAATGCTTTCATGTTAATTCTAGCAAAAAATAAAGTATCATTTTTCCTCTTTTCAAGTCTGTAAAAATACCCTCTGTTAACTGAACCCTAAGTATTTCGAATTCCGTTTTAATCATGCAGTCACAATACTCTTAATTACATTATTTATTACCCGTCACAACCAGTTTCAATTAATTTAACATGATAATAGTATTAATCTATATGCAATCAAAACAAAATTGTTTACATACGAGTCTTTTTGTGCCATTTGATTGTTTTCTCATCGTCACATACACTCTATCTCTGTTATCCTGTGTGTTTTGTGTGACAGCAATATATATTTCCAAGAAAATTTATCACTAACATATCAATTATGAAATAATTTTTGAATGTTATAAATGTCTTCATTCACTGTCTAATTAAAGATAAATAATTCAAAACTGTACCATTCTTGACACCTCCAACATTTCTATAATAGGTACTTCCCAGCTGATCACATGGAGGATCATACAGATAGGCTGCGATGCCAGCGTCAGACATTAACTTGAATGTTTCTGGTCCCCTCAGAGGTTCTTTCTTGATTACACTGTTGTCTGTCAGCCATGTTGCCAATCCTCGGAATCCTAGGAAATAAAAATGTATATGGTCCGATACCACAGTAATCGTCCTTTGATTTTCGTTGTCCACGAATATAGTCCCTAGTGCGGACAGTGTGTTACCTGCCAATTTTTTTTATACCCCTTCCAAATTTATTTCTCAATGTTTTATGCCTCACATAGCAAGTAAGTGGGTGAAATTACACTGTAAAAAAATTGGGTCATGAATCTTAAAGTAAAGTAGTGATTTGGTCCAAAAAATGAATCTTACTTGCAGAAATAATTCTACATGGTGTTTCATAGTTTACAGGCATCATTACAACCAATTCAAGTATCTGAGGGGGGGGGGGGGGGGGGAATGGGAACATAAACAGCCAAAACCATTAAATACTGTATTCATTCAAAATTCAAAAACTGCACTAGGGTGGTAAATGTTCTGTCTCACTGAGAGCCACAGTCTGTATATGATGATTATAGCAAAGACCCTGTGATTGAATCAATATCAATACAAAAATCCACAATCTTTAATGACTTAACAATAGTCTCGTAACTATATCCCTTCTGAATAAGTCTGTTTAAAGGTTTTGTTAGCTTTTTAGGTGAATGCTGACATTTTTGTGATTTGTATATTATAAAAGCCATTCTAATTGCTGTCTGTACCTCCTCAATAAAACACAGGCAGCATATGCACAAAGTTTCGTTATGATAGGTATTATAGCAAAGGAATTAGAATTTTGATTTTTTGTTTACATCTTTTCAATTTCCATGGTAACGGTAGCCATCTTGCACATTCCGAAGTCACAGGAAAAATTTGTACATGGTGGTCAACATTATAGCATAGTTCCATCAACATTGGTCCTTTCAATTCTGAGAACTAGCTTGTTCAATAATAGTGAAAGAAAAATATTAATAAGAAACAAAATGTAAAATAACAATATTGTCAACCCAATTCCATTGAGGGCGCCATAATGATAATAATAACTCAGGAAAAAACAAGGTTCGCAAAATATTGTTTGGCAGACATAAAATTGCTAATATTTATGTTGCTACAAGCAATGAGTGGAGATCTTTTGGTCCATTTTCTTTTGTTTTCCCTTCTTTTTCTTACAAAAATTACTATTATTATTTTTTTAGATTCTATATAAAAGAGAGGAGGCAAAGAATCTTCATGGAAATGATATGTTGATTGCTAACACAGCTGAATACTAAAGTATCATTGACATTGATATTTTGTCACATTTGCCGTATTGTATTGAACTGTCTTCCAATTTATATAAAAATTTTAACAAAACACTAATATATACCTGTATATAATCCTGAATTCCAGTCACATGACAATTTAGGAAGTCTGTATTTGTCAAAAATTACAATGTTAACTCCACATGGTGTAGTTTCTGTATCTGACTCACGACAAATCTGAAGTTTCATGTCAATCAAATAATCTCCCTCCATCTCCAAGTCTCTTACTGTAAATCTGTATAAAAATAGGTTTTAATTAAATCAGATCTTTGTTTATACAGAAAATAGGGAATTTTTTTATTACTAAATTTTGCTGATACAAAATGTTACAAATTGTTCTATATTAAGGAATGTATCTCCCTCATGCAAAGCTCTGATTCCTTGCCCGGCTTTGGATATACTTTTTTTACATTTTTGGATCATAGCTCTTCATCATTTTAATAACCTTTTGATTTTCAAATATTTTGGCCTTGAGCATCACTGAAGAGAAATTTATTGTCAGAATGCGCATCTGGTGCTGAATATTGGTACCATTACTGTTTTTGTATTATGCATTCAAATAAACAATATGTTTTTAAGTATTAACAGCCCTCCTAATTTACAGAAAATAAATATTTTTTTATTGCAGTGGCATGATAGCTACACTTTCCTCAGTATAAGTAGAAAAAAAATAAAGATTTTTTTTTTAAACATTTACAAGAATTAAAATTATTATTACTCAAATTTAGTTAATAGCAGTCACTTCAAATAAGCAAACTTTTCCATTACTCTCTTGCAAGACAATACTTTGATATTATTTGGATCCATGAACCTGCAACTTCATGTATGATGTAAACTCTGTAAGAGAGACTGTGAATGGGTCCAGCATGTTCACTTATTGAAAAGAATGTCAGCTAAAAAGGTTAAATTAGGGAGACTAACAGGTCTAATTCTGTTCACTCTGTATCTGCTAGTCATTCTTCCACAAGTCCACAAGTTACAGGTAAAACACTGATGTACATTATATTATCTATCTACTATATGAATGCTTATAGAAAAATCTAAGTTACACTTTTGCATGTAGTATTTATATTTATCTATTTATATGTATTTCAAGGTCACATGCTAGTCAGAAAATTGGAGGTCATGTTGATAGATGCTAGATAGTGCCAGCCATATAATGTTGACACTTTTTACTTTTCTATGCAATGTTTATTAATTAATTCAACGAAACTTTTCTATCTCTGAAATACTTAACATAAAAATAAGCAGATGTGGTATGATTGCCATTGAGACATACCTCCACCAGAGACCAACTGACATAGAAGTTCACAACAATAGGTCTGTTATAAATCAAATTTAAAAAAAAAAGTTTTTAAGGGTAAATTTTACCAATAAGTGTAATTTATTGATTATCTTAGACATTTTATTACAAGAACAAAGTTTTAATAGCTGGATTACACAGATGTCTTGTATGAACATTCTCAAATTCTGAAGAATATTCGTTGTTATATCCTTAACAGTTCAATTTTATGGTCTTCCTAATGTTTAGTTGATTGAATGAGTGTTGCTTGCATAACATCCAACTGCAAATATTTCACACAAATTCAGAGCAAGAACACTATGTTAAATGGTTCTACTGTACAATACTTTATTAGTGAAAACAAACTTACTCCATTCTAACATATCCAAATAACCAAACTTCAGTCAACTGACCCCACTCATAATCAAATAAGAGTGTATTGAATGTTAATTTTTCTATTCCAACATGAAGTCTGAACAGACATGGGTCAAATTTCACAAATGTCTCAAAACTTGTGCCGATTCTAGTGTCTGACAAACAACAGTAAACAGTTGTACAATCACTGCCAACATTACATGCAGCACCTGATATAGTGGGAAGAGTTGCCATAGACTGCCCACATGCTATAAATACATAAAAAAATTAGTTCATTTCAATGTAACCGTAGCCAGTGCATATTAACAATGATATATATGTTATATTTGCAGTGTTGGAGAAAAGCAGAAGAATGTTTACCATTTATTAATAAATTAGGTTGTTCAATAAAATATACAATTGATAATAGCTTGTTTTTTTTTAATGTGTTTTTTTCAGTGAAGTGTTTCTCTCAGCTTTGATACGGGTTCCATGTCTAATCCATCACCTTACCTATCTTTAGATTTTATGATGATTTTGATCAAAAATCTGCCATTCGACCTATCATCACCACCAATTAATAGTTCAAAAAGTATGGTACAAAATACAAATGCTTATCTTATTTAAAAAGAAATATAAAACCCATTTCAACACTTTATATAAACACTTAAAAATTGTAATCATTTACAGGGCAACTCACAATTAGTCCAACCATGTGTGTGTCCACTGTAAGGAGCAAGAGAAGTAGAACATTGTGTGTCCTTCAACAAATTTCCAATGGATAACATCTCTATCAAGGCAGACACTTGATTGGCATCCAGATTATCATTTACATCAATACCCTTCTCTTTCAGGAAACCAAGGAAAGAAAAATCTGGAACAAAACATTTTATCCGATGAAAATAGAGAGCAAAAGAAAGAAAGTAAAAATAAAAGTTTTACTTAATAATGGGACTTCTTTGTGAATTTATTATTCTTTCTTTCATTACAAGTCAACAAAAAGATCTTTAACCTCAAACTGGAATGCATTTTATACCTACAGAAATGGAATATTTGGAACTTTTATTCTTCCATTCCCATGGAAACTTCAGTAGGGCTGCACTTAGGTAGATATTCTACACACACAAAAGTTCAAGCATCTTTATCCATACAATTTTGTCATTTTATTTTAAAAAAAATTATCCATATGCAATAAAAGTGACTTATTACAAATAACAGTTCAGCATTTTTTTTTCAAAAGAAGAAATATTGGCATTTTTAAATAATTTTAGCATTATTCAAAAAGTACAAAAATCTATTGCTGTTCATGATTAAATCCAACAATTAAAGAAATGATTGCAATCTTTTTTGAAACACACATAAGTTTAGGAGTCATAATTATCCTTAGATAATTGAAATTTTGTGATGTCTGATTGTATATAAAAGTGAATTGATTTTTTACGAAAACTAGAGGCTCTTAAGAGCCTGTGTTGCTCACCTAGGTCTATTTTGTTGATCTTGTATTACTGATCTTTTAGACTGTCTAGTTTCTCTCTTTCTTCTTTAGTTTTTGCTTAAAACATAGAGGAGGGTAACAAAATGCTCATTTAAGGGCAAAGATACTCCTATGAAGAGTGAAACTATTGGTAGAGGTATTATTCTGAAAATTTTGCACCTTTCAGATTTTGTTTTTTTATATCTGTTCATAAAATAATAAACAAAAAATGAATTTTACCCTATGTTCTATTTTTAGCCATGTCCCTAATGTTGGTTGGAAGGCTGGGTCATTGGACACGTTTTTCAAACTAGATACACATATGATGATTGTGGCCAAGTTTAGTTAAATTTGTCCAAGTAGTTTCAGATGAGAAGATTTTTGTAAAAGATTACAAAAATTTTACAAAAAATTGTGAAAAATTGACTATAAAGGTCAATAACTCATTAAGGGGTCAATGTTGACTTATTTGTAGATATAACTTTGCTGAACATTATTGCTGTTAACAGTTTATCTCTATCTATTATGATATTCAAGATAACAAAAAATTTCCGTAAAAATTACTAATTCAGGGGCAGCAACCCAACAATGGGTTGTCTGAGACGTCTGAAAAATTCAGGACAGACAGATCTTAACCTGATAAACAATTTTACCTCATGTCAGATTTGCTCTAAATGCTTAGGTTTCAGAGATATAAGCCAAAATCTACATTTTACCCCTATGTTCTATTTTTAGCCATGGCGGCCATCTTGGTTGATGGGCCGGGTCAATGGTAAACTAGATACCCCAATGATGATTGTGGCCAAGTTAAGTTAAATTTGGCCCAGTAGTTTCAGAGAAGAATTTTGTGAAAGTTAACAGACGACTACCGACGACGAACGCCAAGTGATGAGAAAAGCTCAATTGGCCCTTTGGGCCAGGTGAGCTAAAAAAGGATATACAAGTCTTTTTGTAGGGCTTTACTTATCAAGGGAACCTGATTGAACATTATAATACTTCCATTCACAAGGTGCTTTTGGTAAACTTGTATTTACTTGACAGGGACTTAACCAGAATGAACATAATCATTCTTCCATTCAAATGGTACCTTTGGTAGGTCTGTACTTATCAAGACATGAAAATTATTTACCTGCTTGAACATAATCATTCTTCCATTCAAATGGTGCCTTTGGTAGGGCTGTACTTATCAAGATAGGGGCAGTTATTTACCTGCTTGAACATAATCATTCTTCCATTCACATGGTGCCTTTGGTAGGGCTGTATTTATCAAGACAGGGATAGTTGTTTCACATGTTCCATTTGTTTCCATACATATAGTTATCTCTAGGTTCACCATAAACAATCTTTCTACCTCAAGGTTTTCAATCTTGAATCTGAAACCAAGAACAAAATTTTGAAACCTTTACGCACAGGAAATATCATTTGTACATTTCATTGGTGACAAAAACTGATATTCTACATTTTCTTCTGTGCTCTTTGTCATCATTTGTATTAGACAAGAACTAAGAAGAACATGCTAAATATGGTACCACTTCCAGTAAGATTAGTTCACTTTCAAATTCTGGTAGGCTGCCTTTGCTCTTTGACAAACCATCTTTATTATTTTTTTTGCCATGTTGTGGGTGTGACAAAGCTTTACTGTACTTTTTTTTCAATTAAGTAAAAACTTTAGCTTTAAAAGTAAAATTATTAGCTAGCCTGAATGTATAAGTATCATAAGGGCTTTTCCATTAAAGGGAGCTTTCAATGAATTTTAAGGCCATTCATTAGGCAGCAATACCCTGGACTTAAACCCTCCTTTGCTATTGACAACCACCACCTAAATGTAGGAATTTTTATATAAGGTATTCATGGATTAAATTGAAAAGAACCAAGTACCAGTCGACATGAAACATAATGACCAAAACCCCTGATTTTTCTGATACAAAATTAGTAGAAGAACCAGAGCTATCTATTGTACTTGAGCAGAGTGTTTTTTTAACCAAAAATGTATTCTGGATATGATTTTGACCATTGATGGAATTTGTGTGGTCTTTCTCCGAACAACAATAAAAAAGATGCTACTAAAAGCACATTGGCCATTAACGCACAACTGAATACAAAACCTAATACAACAAAAAGAAATCTTCCTGAAGACTCTAAAATCAATAAAAGAACATAGTCCAAATGTCCCCATCTTTACACATATTTTATCTGTCCATTGGCAAAAACTAAAAAAAATCCTAATTTTCTTTATAAATATCTTAGAAAAATTAGCTTGAGAGCAAATGCAATGCAATTTCAGATAAAATTAATACTTTTAAGAGACATAACTATTTTATAATATTTCATGACATAGATCTTTAGAAATCATCCAAGACATTGCTGATATAGACTTTAGAAACAAATTTGATAAAAAAAAACTCAAAACAATTGTACCCATTCGAGCACTTCAATGCAATTTCCCCAAAAATTAATGTTTCCAAGGGGCTTTTAAAAATAATTGATTGGCACTAATTTTCGAACTTGTCCAAGACATTGCTGATATAAATATGACATAAATCTTATAAAATTGGGCAAGAATTGTACATGTGAGAGCGCTTACTATGCATTTTTCTATATAATCAATGTGTCCAATGGGCATAACTGTTATAAAAATTGTTTACATGCCCTGAAATGTCAAAGACAATGCTGATAGAAAGAATTGTATATGTGAGAGCGCCAACAAGACCAGACAGACGGACAGGTGGATGCCAGATATGTCTTTGTCCCTCAACAATGTGTTGCACAAGGGATAACACACAGGTTGTCAACAATCAAAGCTAACCAAACATTTGTGCTTGGCTTTGCCTAACATGTGTGAAACAAAAAACATCTCTACCAATAAAGTAAGACTATAATGTTGTTGAGATGCCTTGAAGATTCAATCAGGACTCAAAATAATCTGCCAGCCTAACATTGGCAAAGACAATGAAATTTTAAAGAAAAGTGAGAAAAAAAATTAGCTTATTGGCCTTTCTAACTCATGCCCACAACTTCAGACAATTTTTGTAACCACATCAAAAACCTAAAAGTTATCCAATCCAAACTACTATAAAATCCTGTACTATAAGTACTTACTCAAGACCAATCACTCCATGTAATTTTACTTTTACAACTTCCCCATATGTATATCCAAACAAGCTGATGGTAATTTCCAACTTCTCTATACCAATGGTCATTTGACGTTTACAGGGATCCAGTCTCAACTGTGTGTTAACATTCCTATTGATCCTTGGGAAGCTGCTACAACAGGTGACACCAGTACAAGAACTGTACAAATGACAGATGGTACCAGATTGCAGCACTGGTAATTCGACATATTCTTCACAAGCTGAAGATAGAAAAAACAGAAATTAATTTCTAATATCTAAAACGATTAAAATTAAAGAACCTTAGTGAGCGCGATCACATACCCCACGTCCCCACATTGTCACTTAAGAAATTAAATAACAGTAAGAAAAAAAAAATTGTATAAGAAAATAAAATTGAATCATAATTTCCTGTCGATATGCACATCTACGTAGTATGTCCTTATTATCTACAAAGTTTCATGAAATTCTGTTGTGTGCTTTCGGAGGTGTTGCGATGACAAACTGTTGCAGTAGTATATTGAAGCAACTAAGTTCAAAGGGGCATAACTCCTAGAAAAAAAATTGAATCGTAATTTCCTGTCGATATGCACATCTGCATAGTATGTCCTTATTATTTAAAAAGGTTTCATGAAATTCTGTTGTGTGGTTTCAGAGGAGTTGCGATGACAAACTGTTGCAGTAGTATATTGAAGCAAATAAGTTCAAAGGGGCATAACTGCTAGAAAAAAAATTGAATCGTAATTTCCTGTCGATGTGCACATCTACATAGTATGTCCTTATTATCTAAAAATGTTTCATGAAATTCTGTTGTGTGGTTTCAGAGGAGTTGTGATGACAAACTGTTGCAGTAGTATGTTGAGGCAAATAAGTTCAAAGGGGCGTAATTCCTAGAAAAAAAATTGAATCGGTTTTTCCTGTCGATCTGCATAGTATGTCCTTATTATCTAAAAATGTTTCATGAAATTCTGTTGTGTGGTTTCAGAGGAGTTGTGATGACAAACTGTTGCAGTAGTATGTTGAGGCAAATAAGTTCAAAGGGGCGTAATTCCTAGAAAAAAAATTGAATCGGTTTTTCCTGTCGATCTGCATAGTATGTCCTTATTATCTAAAAAGGTTTCATGAAATTCTGTTGTGTGGTTTGAGAGGAGTTGCGATGACAAGAAACAGGACTGACAGATTGACGGACGGACAGGCAAACGGACGGACGGGTCAAAAATATTATACCCTTCGCAAAAAATTTGCGTGGGGTATAACTAATTACAGAATATAGGTGATGTCTCTTGCTTATTTTGCTTGAAAATTTTGAAAAAAATCTAAAAAAGTTCTGTAAATGAAAATTTGCCATTGTCAATTGGCAATTTGATGTTCACAAATACAGTTTTAGAGGCTACGCGCTGTATAGGCAGTAAAACAGATATTTGCAACCATCAAATCAAATTTGACAGGGGCAACTGTTTAACTACAATACTGCTATTCTTATTCAAATGCATTACAAAAAGAAATAAAAGGTTGGAGCTTGAAAAAATGTACAAAATGTAAAAACAATTCTGGGGAACTTCATTAATAATGTTGGTGCATTGATGTCAAGGCTTTTTGTTATGTCATACAAATGAGAACTTACAAACTGAAGGCTATTTCCGGTATGTTACTTTTTTTATTCAAAATTGGATAAAATCACATTAAAACATGGTTTTTGAGGTAGGTATTGTTTTCTTTTGATAATATTATAGTAATCAAACATTTGTTGATCCAATCATTCCAAAATGGCAGGTCCCTCCTTGGTTACAATATGCCTACTGCCGATTGGATGTAACTTTTAGCCAATAAAACTAGAGGCTCTAAAGAGCCTGTGTCGCTCACCTTGGTCTATGTGCATATTAAACAAAGTTGTGTTTTGGTGATGGTGATGTGTTTGTAGATCTTACTTTACTCAACATTCTTGCTGCTTACAATTATCTCTATCTATAATGAACTTGGCCCAGTAGTAACAGTGGAAAATATTTTGTAAAATTTTACAAAAATTTACAAAATTTATGAAAATTGTAAAAAATTGACTATAAAGGGCAATAACTCCTTAAGGGGTCAATTGACAATTTTGGTCATGTTGACTTATTTGTAGATCTTACTTTGCTGTACATTATTGCTGTTTACAGTTTATCTCTATCTATAATAATATTCAAGATAATAACCAAAAGCTGCAAAATTTTCTTAAAATTACCAATTCAGGGGCAGCAACCCAACAACTTGTTGCCTGATTGGTCTGAAAATTTCAGGGCAGATAGATATCTTGACCTAATGAACAATTTTATCCTTGTCAGATTTGCTCTTAATGCTTTTTCAGAGATATGAGCCAAAAACTGCCTTTTTCCCTATGTACTGTTGTCTAGCCATGTCGGCCATCTTGGTTCACAGGCTGGGTCATCGGACACATTTTTTAAACAAGATACCCTAATGATGATTGTGGACAAGTTTGGTTAAATTTGTCTTGGTAGTTTCAGAGGAGAAAATTTTTGTTAAAGATTACAAAAATTTACGAAAAAGGGTTAAAAATTGACTATAAAGGGCAATAACTCCTTAAGGGGTCAACTGACCATTTTGGTCAAGTTGACTTATTTGTAGATCTTACTTTGCTGAACATTATTGCTGTTTACAGTTTATCTCTATCTATAATAATATTCAAGATAATAACCAAAAATGGCAAAATTTCCTTAAAATTACCAATTCAGGGGCAGCAACCCAACAACAGGTTGTCAGATTCATCTGGAAATTTCAGGGCAGATAGATCTTGACCTGATAAACAATTTTACCTCATGTCAGATTTGCTCTAAATGCTTTGGTTTCAGAGATATAAGCCAAAATCTACATTTTACCCCTATGTTCTATTTTTAGCCATGGCGGCCATCTTGGTTGGTTGGCCGGGTCACCGGACATATTTTTTAAACTAGATACCCCAATAATGATTGTGGCCAAGTTTGGTCAAATTTGGCCCAGTAGTTTCAGAGAAGAAGATTTTTGTAAAAGTTTATGCACGACTGACGCAGGATGCAGGACGACGGACGCCAAGTGATGAGAAAAGCTCACTTGGCCCTTTAGGCCAGGTGAGCTAAAAAAGGTGTTAGATAAAATTGCATTAGAATCCATAATAACAGGCGAACAACTTGAATATGCAATCTTTCTGTGAAGTTTGAAGGATCTAGGTTGAAAACTGTAGACAAACTCAAAGCTTAGATAAGTTTTCATGTACCTACATGATGTGATAACAAATGAGAGTTTGCTCACCTCTGTTCCATCCTTTATCATTGAAATAGTACGATATATTTGGTCACATGACGATCATGTGATAATCTTGGGATTATTCTTACCTCTGTTCCATCCTTTATCATTTGGATAATATGGTATAACAGTCTGATCACAAACGTTGTCCATCATGTATTGGGCGAGAGCTGTATCATGCAGTAATTGGGCAATAGTGTTAACATCTAGGGGTACTGTGCTGTTAGGTATGCTCTTCTCGTCTAAGTATTCACTCAGACTAAACTCTGGAAAATAATTCAATATTTCTAGCAAAGTTTTTCTCACAACATTTGAATAGTGTTAAAACTGAAATGTTTTCTGTGTAGCAATAAAAGACATTTTTATGCTAACTGCAAATCCGAATTAGTAAAGATAGAAATAATATGTGTACATTGTAGTTAAATATAAAATTTAATTGACAAGCTCAAGAAACAGAGAAAAACGAGGCTCACCAAATCAATATTGAACTCATTCTTTTTTATCAATTTCCCAATCATCGAAAAAATCAACAAGACTTTAAAACAGAATGCGAATCCCATATTATGGCATTTTGAACAGTGAAGTAAACAGAAATTTCAATATAATCAGTCTCTCGCAACAGAATTTTTATTGCTTCATAATATCTGTAAACATGTATTTGTATAGTATAAAGATTGATTATAGGATAATAAAGGACAGGGCCATGAGCACATGATACGCTTGTCCCTTAAGTAAAAAGTTTCATAACTCCTCAACGACAAATCAGAAATTTAAAAAAAAAACTAAAGGAAAGTTATCTTAATAGATTTAATCAGTCTGGACAAATAAGGAGGACAAATACAGTATAGCATAAAACGTCCCGTTAACGAGCGTATTCCTATTGCATTTTATTTTCCAAGGACAGTATGTATGAAAGTTGATCAGATTTACTTACCAGGAATGACAAACTGTGAATTATAATCACATTCAGCTTTTGGTAACCTGTGATCCTGGAATACATTGGTAAACACTTCACACGCCCCTCCTGATTCTAGACATACTGATATATTCATAGAAACAGCATATACTTTATCTGCTGTTAGATCATCTACCACAAAACTGAAATTAGAAAAAAATCAAAGCTCTTCTGAGCACTGAGGGTAGAGATTGTTTTCATTAGTAAACACTTCACACGGCCCTCCTGATTTTAGACATGCTGATATATTCATAGAAGTAGCATATACTTTATCTGCTGTTAGATCATCTACCACAAAACTGAAATTAAAAAAAAAATCAAAACTCTTGTGAGAACTGAGGGTAAAGATTGCTTTCATTGGTTCACATTTCACCATCCTCTCCTGATTCTCGACATTTTAAAATATTCATAGTAACTACATATACTTTATTTGCTGTCAGATAATCTGCCACAAAAACGAAATTACAAATAAATATGATATGGATTGGATGTTCACAAGATAAATATATGATAAAACTTTGACATCAAAAAAGGTCTTAATTTCAGATAATTTGTTTTTTCTTTAAAATACATGTACCACAAAAGTATTAAATGATTCAGGTATAGCACTGTTGATCTAAACTAAATGATTCATTACTCAAATTTACTCATTATGTCTGGTAAAGTAAAAAAGAAAAAGCTTATGACCAACTACCATTTCCAATACTTACTCCAAATTAAAAACTTCATTCATGGCATAATGTTGCACTGTACCAAAGCTAAAGTCGATGAGTGTATAGTCTAAATCAATACCCTCCAGTCCTATGTATATTTTGTAGTTACATGGATCCAGTTTAACATATCCATTGAAGGTCAGTCCAAGGCTTGTAGAATCCACACAACAATCCACGGCTGTACACGATGAGTCAAGGTGACATGTGGTATAACTACCCAAAGGTAATAGAGAACCGACAGGATTAGCACAATCTAAAAATTAACAACAATCAACATCTGTACATGATGAGACAACATGACATGTGGTATTATACCCAAAGGTACTAGAGAACGTATAGGCTCCCTACAGTCTAAAATAAACATTTCACACCTCAACAACTTAGGGTATATTCTATCATTTCCATAAATATTGATTAAAATATATCTTCTAAATTTACATATGCTATCATTTCCAATAGATCCAAGAGCAGAAAAAAGTTTCTCCCTGATTGAAAAGGAAAATATTTCCAGGTTTTTTACAGACAATTTTCCTTTTTTCTGCTAAATCATTTTTTCTTTGGTTGTGTTGTTCTATTGTATGAAAAATTCCTGAGGTTTTTCAATTTTGTATGTGACATTACTTAAAAGCATTCAACAAGACTCATATAATGTATTATGTACTATCTCTCACCATCTTTCCAGTTGTTTCCATCAGCCCCAGTGTAAGGAGCTGCAGTCCTACTACATGGGTTCTTCTTCATGTACTGTGAGATACCAGTCAAGCCAAGAATATCTGACACATGATGATCATCCAATGTAGAAATACCTTTGTCAGTCATATATTTATTTAGTGAAAAGTCTGCAAGAAAATGATATTCTAATTAAAAGTCAATTATAGAAACTATCATAAGCTTAAAATAAAATATTCTTGTGTCCAGTTATCCAACTTGGATATATATTCCTTATCCTTTAATTTTATATCCTTTTTTTCTAAACCAAACATGTTTTCTTTGTTGAATTATAAGGTAATTGTTTAAAGTCATATGAATCCAGCTTCTTGAAATTTTCATGTTATCCAAATTATTGAAACAAGTGATGAGAAAATCTCACTTGGACCTTCGAGCCAGGAGAGCTAAAAATGAACTCAGGAAATGTCTTTCGTCTCTCAAATATCAATCAATTCATTTTTGGACAGAGAAAAAATACAGAATGCTGCCCCTGAACTTCAATGGGGCCTTAGTAGCCCCAATACCCCCTCAGTGAGTGAGGCCTACAAATGTCCAATCCCATTTTAAAATTCACATGAGATCCTTGAATACACATGAAGTGGAGAAATTATATATGTTTCATTCCATTATTATGTAAACTTTGGGAGACCCTATGTTGACAAACTTCCCCATATGAGAGGAAGAAAGAGTATGACAGATATGCATTGTATTGGACATGCATAAACACAATTTAAGTTAATTGCAGATGTTTAACATAATTAGTTGCACAACAACTTAATGCTCTAAGTCTGACAGCATAAACACAATCTGAACAGAATATGAATATACAGGCGTACAACTGCAAACGATGTGGTGTAATTCTGTTACATTTATATTACTGTAAATTCAGAAATTATTGCGTTCATTTAATTTTGCGATTTTGTCATGTTAGGCTAAAATTTAGCGATATTGAGAAAAATCCTTTTTAATTCAAATAAAAAATTACAAAATGTGAGTTTAAATTATTGCGATTATAACCCTGTCGCATTTTTCGGAATAATTTCTGAATTTACAGTATGTAAACTGAAGAATATTTTGCATTGACAAACTTCCTGAAATATATAAATTGAATATGTTTTTTTTTATTATTTTGGGAAAGACAAAAAGCAAGTCTGATAATCAAATTAAATATTGAGGTGCAAAATTACACATGATTTTAATTAATTCTCTCAAATTTTGTCTCATTCCTATGTAAAGTGAATTTTATTTTGTTAAATTTTAGTAATGCCGAGACACATAAACATGTATAACATATATGGGAAGACATCAATCACTTATTCCCATCAATGTCAGTGACTTTGAAATCATTTCAGTTTATAGAAAAATTTGTGAGACTGGCATGAAGACTTTTAATTCTTTTTTCTTTCCTTTTCCAATTTACTGACATAACATTCTCTTTTTATTTTATTTCCTACCCACTTTCCTGAGCACCTACCATTTTGTAGGAACTTCTTGTCCCAGTTACAAACTTTCTTTGGTAGTCTGACTTTATCAAAGATATTGTAAACAGTTTCACATGGTTGGTTAGCTTCCCAACATAAACTCAGTTTCATAGAAATCAGGAATGCAGGCTCAGCATACAAGTCATGGAGAACAAAACTGACAAAATATAATAAACCTGATTCATTAAAAAAATCTAAAAATAAAGCCATAACAAGAGTGCACACGCTGGAATGTCTCGCCTTCTTTACTAATCATTGATATTAGGTTGATAGTCCTAAATATAAAGCTTTATTACAACTGTCACATAAACTTAACATTAATCAAGTAAACTAAACATTGACCAATGAACCATGAAAATGAGGTCAAGGTCAGATGAACCATGCTAGGCAGGCATGTACAGCTAACAATTCTTCCATACAAAAAATATAGTTGACCTATTGCTTATAGTTTAAGAAAAACAGACCAAAACACAAAAACTTAACACTGAACAATGAACCTTGAAAATGAGGTCAAGGTCAAATAAAACCTGCGTGACTGACATATAGATCATAAAATATTTCCATACACCAAATATAGTTGAACTATTGCATATAGTATTAGAAAAAAGACCAAAACTCAAAAACTTAACTTTGACCACTGAACCATGAAAATGAGGTCAAAGTCAGATGACACCTGCCAGCTATACATGTACACCTTACAATCATTCCATACACCAAATATAGTAGACCTATTGCATACAGTATAAGAAAAACAGACCAAAACACAAAAACTTAACTATAACCACTGAACCATGAAAATGAGGTCAAGGTCAGATGACACCTGCCAGTTGGACATGTACACCTTACAGTCCTTCCATACACCGAATATACTAGACCTATTTCTTATAGTATCTGAGATATGGACTTGACCACCAAAACTTAACCTTGTTCACTGATCCATGAAATGAGGTCGAGGTCAAGTGAAAACTGTCTGACGGGCATTAGGACCTTGCAAGGTACGCACATACCGAATTTAGTTATCCTATTACTCATAATAAGAGAGAATTTAACATTACAAAAAATCTTAACTTTTTTTTCAAGTAGTCACTGAACCATGAAAATGAGGTCAAGGACATTGGACATGTGACTGACGGAAACTTCGTAACATGAGGCATCCATATACAAAGTATGAAGCATCCAGATCTTCCACCTTCTAAAATATAAAGCTTTTAAGAAGTTAGCTAACACCGCCGCCGCCGCCGGATCACTATCCCTGTGTCGAGCTTTCAGCGACAAAAGTCGCAGGCTCGACAAAAACCAAACAAAATTAGCTACATATTTCAAATTTCAACTCCTACAATCTTTAGTACTATACTACTTATCCACTTAATTTTACATATAAATTACAATGACAAGAAGGTTACATATATTAGATTGTATCATGCTTACTCAAATTGTTTCTTGAAAGTTTTCTTATCATATCTTTCACAATTTACACAATTAGTGCATTTATTTGTCAGGTGCTTATTTTGATGGTCAATATTAACAATCAATTTGCTCAATGAAATACATATCTTTTATGGTTAAAATAACCTCATTCTGCAAATTTAAACTAATTCTAATATGTCCGTTTAAAAACCCTAAAATTAATGGTTTAAAACTTTTAATATATATGACCTCATTTTCAAAACTCCATTTAGGTCAACATGTGTCCATTCTCCCCATTGATATCCTTTAAGTGTTCTTTCATATTGTTGACGTTCAATTCCAACTTTCAACATGTAGTCACACTGCTCTAGTCTCATATAGAATTCAAATGTTTTACCAATGAATGGTACGTCTAATGCACAACTCAAACCACGACAGGTGCTCTCTAGATTACAGGATATTACAGACTGGTCCATTCGAAGGAGAGTTACAGGGGCCTCAGAACAGTCTGGAAGCATAATGTATGTTGTACTTGAACATTGATGGTTTAATGTGAGAATGTTACATGTATAAATTATTTCTAAAAATCATCAGCAAAACATGTTCCAAATATAAATACTGAAAAGACATTAACTGGCTTACTTCAATAGATGTAATATGCAAAATTTCCTCTATCACAATAAACTTCTTGAGTAGGTTTTTTACATCTCCTTCCATCTAGATTGTGCAATATTTGCAAACAACACCAATTTATAGAATTCAATTTCAACTACAAACCAGAATCCATAGATGTCAGCAACAACCCATAGAAAAAAAATAACACCTACAATCAAACATCCACTGGTACTTTTTTCTAAAACAACCCTCAACACAAAAAAGTCCGTATGTTGAGTTGGAGCTGGTAGACGCTTCTATTATTTTTACCTAATATGTCCCAAAAGTAATACACTACACTGTAAAAATCTTTTTTTTAAATTGCATTTAGGCCACACCAAATTAATACCTCGATTGTCAGGTTTCCCATGTGTTGTGAAAGGTTGACAAGAAAAAAGTACTTTTTTTAAAACCTGCGTCCAGCATCGAGCCGCGCGGGTCTAGTTCTAAATTTATATAACCAAAATTTTAATCAGTTGTGCGCTTTAAAGTAACGTAATACAGACACAGAAATTGACATCTTAAACGATCTAGATCTAACATTCACAACGTTTTTTGTATTCTTATTATGGATAAATTTATTATGATAAATATTCTAAAACGTAGACATGAGTGGAATATGTGTAGTTACAGTGGTAACGCAGGCTACGTCCTTACTAACAAACACAACAATGGAAAGTGATTTGGATAATTCGTTAACGATATGTTTAAAATCAAAGGGATCCCTGCAAAGCAACAATTTGGCACAAAGCACCAGCGCCTTCGAATTGGAAGATTTGAATTATGGCAATATAACATGCATGAAGAGAGAATTCCGTACATGCACTAAAATGGAATCGAGATGATACTATTATATTTTCTACTATCTTTTTTTTAATTTTTTATAATAGTTTTTTTCCCTTGAAACTTTATTAAATTTGCTAGTATCATTACAAAGTTATAAATTTGACAAGAAAGTGTTTGTGGTCATTGAATTTAACACATTAACCCAACTCAACATTTGACACTATGTTATAAAAAATAAGAATTTGTATGATTGTCAATGAGACAAACTTCCACCACTGGCACCAGTGACCAAATGTTTTGAGGTTTGTAACCAGTAAAGTACGCAGTACATGTAAGGCGTTCAACACAGAACATAATCCTCAAATACATAAAGATCTGATCAGTTGCTATCAAATTCTTCTTTCCCCTAGGGTGCTTGGGGAATAGAAATATGGTAACCATTGGAAGTAAACCCCTCGCTAGAGTAGGGCATTCATATGGCTGTGCAGGATGTTTAAGTGCACAGCCACGTCCAGTAAGATATGGGACGTAAAATCTGATGCCTCGTGTAAGGAAAGTGCCACACTCTTTGTGCATTAAAAATCCTTGCTACAACTTTTTCAGTGGTTAGAAGTGGCCTTTTGCAAGGCTGAATTTCTGTTCCTGTCCAATGTACAATGTGCCCTCTTTTTCCTGTGGCGGTCAAAATTTCACTGGGATTTCTCATTGTTGAAGGCTGTATGGTTGCCTATATAAATTGTAAATATCAATTTCATTTGAACTTGGGTGCATAGTTGTTTCATTTGCTATTAAACTACCTCTCCTTATTTTCATAATGCATCAATGTAAACTGTCATCAAACATGGATGTGTACCTGTTCAATGCTGTTGTACTATTAAATATTCAGCTGGATCTTTATTTGAGCAGACTATACAAATTTGTCTACACTTTGCTTCTATTTGGCCATTTTTGTACTAGAAATGTTGTGAAAAGATTCAACAGGGTGTCTGAGAACATACTAAGAAGCAAAGTATGGTAATATAAGAAATAGCTATAGGATAATGAGATGTAAAAAAACATGAAGCACAAAAACTGTGTAAATCTTATTTTTTTTATATTTAAAAAACAATATCGCTGGCTTGCATAAAATGCTATTCATAGATTTTATTTTTTTAATATTTCAAAAATAATATCACTCGCTAGCAAAAAATACCTTCGCCTGCAAAAAATGAAAATTCGAGAAAAAAAAACAAGTAAAAACATTTCGCTCTCGCTACCCTTTTTTACAGAAAGTGTCCGAAGAACTAGAAATTTGTTTGGTGTGGCCTCATTGTTCTAAAGAAATGCATTTTATATTAACAGTAGTTCCTGGTCACTTTTGCTTTTTTTTTATGTAGAAAATGAGGGATTAAACCTGGTTTTATAGCTAGCTAAACCTCTTCCTTGTATGACAGTCGCGTTAAATTCCATTATATTGACCACAATGTGTGGACAAAACAAACAGACATAATAGGTAAAAAGTCAAAAATTGGGGTACAGCAGTCAACATTGTGTTATAATCTTAATCACTATAAAAGCAGACATTTAGATAACAAAGAAACACAAAAATGCAAATAGACAAAGCACATTACTAAAATGAAAGACAAAAAACAAAAATTTACCATAAGGCAATAAAATAAAAATGGGATGTATAAGTACATCTGAAGGATATTATTCAATTAGTTTGTAATACTTTTTGTTTTTAAATTCAAGGGAGTGAAAAAAGTGGCTTATAATATCTTCTCCTTTTCAAAATTAAGTTTTTTAAACATCTACCTGAACTCCAACCAAGATAGGCTGCAGCATATGTTCCAATAGGGTCATCTCTCAAAACCATAGGACTGAGTAGATATTCTCCTATTTCTGTTGCCTCCATCAGGGAAGAAACTGCAGAGGAATCAAGGTTAGATCCTGGTGTAAAAGAATTGTCTAAATACCACTCTTTAAGTGACCAATCTGGAAGAGAAAGGTACATTTGTACTACTTCTTCTTATGCAATAACCTGAAAGTATCTAATCTGATATCATAAATAATACCAATCTATTTTCAGATTCATGAATTAATATAATCACTTTCTAAAATCAATGAATAGATTCAGATAATGTTTGGATTCAGAAATCTTAAACATTGTCAATTTTTCAAACATATTCAGGATGCAATAAAAACAGTTGTAGCTTACTAGGATTTGGATATCCACTAAACCATGGACACACCATCTTTGGTAATTTGGTATTCACTACTATTGTATCTTGGAGGTCACATGGTGTAGGGTCGTTGAAACAAATCTTGACCTTCATATCAACAAGATAGACCATTTCACCAACCAAATCTGTTATTTTGTACCTATTCAGAAAATAAATGAGAATACAGTGTTTTTTCAAGTCTCTTTTTTTTTATATTCAAAAGTGAAAAAATGCAAAAAATTATAATAACATATTTAAATTGTTTATGAAAAATATGAGAAAAAGTCTAAATACACATATCTACCTGTGCACTATATTATATTAATAAATAAGAAAATTGCAAGACTGCAAAAAACAATAACAAATAAATTAAAATAATAAAGAGGCCATATATTGCTGATAGTATTTGAAAAATATACCAAACCACAATAAACTTTCCATTGTCCAATTAACACACTCAGAAGAATGTTCACCTCACAATCACTTCAAACAACTAATAAAGTTGACCTATAGCTTATAGCATTTGAGATATGGACTTTACCAAGAAAGCTTAAACTTAATCCTTCATCCATGAAATAAGGTCAAAGTCAGCTGAACCCTGTCTGATGAACAAGGATCCCATATATCATATATAGTTATTCTATTACTTTAATAAGTATTTCAGATGAAAAAAAAAATAAACATTTTTTTCTAGCAGTTTCTAAACATGAAAATGAGGCCAAGGACAATGAACATATCACAGATGGAAACTTCATAACATAAGGCATCTTCATACAAGGTATGAAGCAGCCAGGTCTTCCACTTTCTGAAATATAAAGCTTTATACAGCACTTGTAACCTTAGGTGTTACTGTTTGACGTGCATGAACTTGACTGATTGGTGAATGATCGATGACTGATCTGTGATCGATGACCCATAGAATTCATCAGATACGTCAAATAAGCTATGTGAGAGTTACCGTGACAACAGTCAGCATTCGATCAGTAAAGTAATTATATGCACCGATCGGACAGATACGTATTTAATTAAAATTCTTATGTAAAACGAACTCCACAGTATTTACATTCGATAAAGCAGACCTCTACGAAGACACCTTTATTTGTTAATTTGTAATCAACTTGTAGCAATAACACTAAACTAGAGGCTCTCAAGAGCCTGTGTCGCTCACCTGTATTTACTGATGCTTTGGAAATCATGTAAAATAAGGTTAAAATCATAGTTAATAGTATTAAATATTAGATATTATAATGATATCTAAGATAACAAAAATCTGCAAAATTTCTGTAAAATTACTAACTCAGGGGCAGCAACCCATCATCTTCATCTGATTCATCTGAAAATTTCAGGGCAGATATATCTTAATCTGATGAACATTTTTTCCACCTGTCAGATTTGCTCTAAATGCTTTAGTTTCAGAGATATAAACCAAAAACTGCATTTTACCCCTATGTTCTATTTTTAACCATGTCAGCCAAGATGGTTGGAAGGCGGGGTCATCGGACAAATTTTTTAAACTAGATACCCTAATAATGATTATGGCCAAGTATTGTTAAATTTGTCTCAGTAGTTTCAGAAAAGAAGATTTTTGTACAAGATTACAAAAATTTACAAAAAATTGTTAAAAATTGACTATAAAGGGCAATAACTCCTAAAGGGGTCGACTGACAATTTTGATCATGTTATACTTATTTGTAAATCTTACTTTGCTGAACATTATTGCTGTTTACAGTTTATCTCTATCTATTATAATATTCAAGATAATAACAGTAAACTGCAAAATTTCCTTAAAATTACCAATTCAGGGGCAGCAACCCAACAACGGATTGTCAGATTTATCTGAAAATTTCAGGGCAGATAGATCTTGACCAGCTAATCAGTTTTACCCGATGTCAGATTTACACTAAATGCCTTGGTTTCAGAGATATAAGCCAAAATCTACATTTTACCTCTATGTTCTATTTTTACCCATGACAGCCATTTTGGTTGGTTGGCGTAGTCATCGGACATATTTTTTAAACTAGATACCCTAATGATGATTGTGGCCAAGTTTGGTTAAATTTGGTCCAGTGGTTTCAGAGGAGAAGATTTTGTAAAAGCTAACGACGACGACGGACGCCAAGTGATGAGAAAAGCTCACTTGGTCCTTCGAGCCAGGTGAGCTAAAAATATATATCAATTACTTTTCACGCATTATACATATATGTATAACTTCATATTCTCATATTCTGATAGAGAATGCAATCATTTCTTTATTGTAATGGAAGTTATTCACTGCCCTTGGATTTTTGTACTTTTTATAGTTTATGATTGTTTTTTTCTTATAAAAGTAAAAGAATATCAAAGAAAGTATACTAAAATGTTGTTTGCATTGTTTAAAATTACCAATTGGTCTTCTTTTGATAAGAACAAATGCAATGTTATTTGTAGCTGGTAATATCAAAGGCCTCATGATAAGATTTTTTTTTAACAGAATTTTAATAAAGTAAAAAGAATAATACTTGATATTTCAAGGAAAAAATACTAGTTTTTTGTTTCCATTGCTTAAAATGCAAATAATTCTTCTTTTATATCAGAAATAATGCAACATCAATTGCAATCAGTCATTATAGATGCATTTAGATAAGTAATTTTGTAAAAGATGTGAATAATTTATAATAGAAAAAAATGCATTAACTTTTGTTTTTGTTGAATAAAAACTGCAGTCATTTCTTTTTTTTTAATGGAAATGATTGACCGCCATTGGATTTTCGTACTTTTAGTAGTTTAAGATTGGTTATTTTTCATAAAATTAAAAGAGAAAATATACAAGAATGTTGTTCGCATACTTTAAAATGACCAATTATATTTCTTATTTTCATAAAAAGTAATGCAATGTTATTTGTAACTAGTTATTTCAAAGCCCTCGAGATAAGTTTTTTATAAGAATTTAAATAGTGTAAGGAGAATAATACTTAAACTATAGTTTGTGATGAATACATATACAATAATTTCTTTATTTTGATAGAAATTATGAACCACCATTTTATTTCAGTACTTTTTGTACATCAGGATTGGCTGTTTTTCATAAATTATGCTGAATTACTAGGAAAAGATACTAAATGTGTGTTCGTGTTGCTTAAGTATATACAAATATTTCTCATTTTATATCAGAAATAAAGCAACAACAATTGCAATCAGATATTATAAATGCATTTAGATCAGTACTTTTTATAAGATGTGAATAATTTGAGGATATATATGCATAAACTTTTGTTTTTGTTGAACATGAATGCAATCATTTCTTTATTTTAATGGAAATAATTGACCGCCATTGAATTTTTGTACTTTTTAAAGTTCAGAATTTTTTATTTTTTATTTCTCATAAAATTAAAAAAAATATAAGAGAAAATATACTAAAATGTAGTTCGCATTGTTTAAAATTACGAATTTTTCTTCTTTTTATAAAAAATAATGCAATGTTATTTGTAACTAGTTATTTCAAAAGCCTTGAGATAAAAAACAATTATACGAATTTTAATAATGTAAGGAGAATAATACTTAAACTTTTTTTTTTGTTGAATAAATATACAATAATTTCTTTATTTTGATAGAAATTATGAACCACCATTTGATTTAAAAAAAAAAATTACATGATAATCAGAGGAAAGATACAAAAAGTCATTCACATTGTTTAAACTATAACAAATTTCTAATATTTTTTTCTTTTTATAAAAAATTCAGCAATGTTATTTGTTACTAGTTATTTTAAAGCCCTCTAGATAAGTTTTTTATAAGAATTTCAAGATTATAAGGATAAAAATACTTAAAAATATTGAAAATAATACACCGAAATTGGCAATAAATGATCATGTCATTTCATTTTCCAGAGCATTTTCTGGGAAAAAATCAAAATCGCGATAAAAATCGTTTTAGCACTCTTCAGGGATGAAAATATATAACCTAAATCAAAACGAAAATCACAATTCTTTTATAATAATATTTTAAGGTAGCACTACAGTCAGAATTTTTTGACTCCAACCAACAGTCTTTAAAGATTAATTTCTCCAAAACTACTCAATGGATTTTAAAAATCTTTAACTCATTTTAAAGCTGAAATATAACTCTTTCTTAATCTATAGATAAATTTATTTTTGGTATGATAAATCTCAAAATATAGCTCATTAATTGCCAAAAAAGTGGTCTTCCAACTTGGATGAAAATGGCACATTCAGGTCAAATGGTAGTAAAAATTTGTTTTAATCCCTTTAATCAACCATTCACAATCTACAAAACCGTGTCTCAGATTTTTGATATATGCCTCCAGTAATAAGATATATTATTTTTACTGCTGGATGCCAAACCTCATTTCACCTTTCATCTTTGGAGACCTATAAATTCATTTAGAAACAAATTATCCAAAAACTGGGACACGGTATTGTAGAAAATACTCCCTTCAATCACATATATCAAAGTCAAGCCAAAGGGGGTACCCATAAAGTTTCTATTTTCATTTTTTTCTTACAATTCTCATGAAAAATTGTTCTGAGAAATGACCTTAAAACTGAATTTCCTCTTAAGAACCCCTATAAATGCCACATAAATACAAAAAATTCCACTGGGAACACCCCAGAAGTGTTCTGACACCATTACTTTATCGATAGAACCACACACATTGTGTCTTTGATGCTCTAATGCTGTAAAATTTGCATTTTGTGTGCACTGTATAACACTAACTTGGCATTTGGCGGGAGTTTGACGTCACAGATTTGACCAACATCTGTGA